TGTGGATGCCCCATTCCTGGAAGTGCTCAAGGTCAGGCTGGCTGGGGCCCAGGGCAGCCTGGTCCGGTGGGAGGTGATCCTCCCCATGGCATGGATGTTCTTCATGGTCCATTCCAATCCAAACCACCCAGTGATCCTCCTCCTCAACTGAGGGCTGCACTCAGATGATCAATGGCCTGGAGCACAATTCTTTCCCAGTCTGAGTTTTTTTAGGATTGATTCCCAATGGCTTCACTTAAAACAGTAACATCACCACACACCCCATCCCCTTTAACAAACAAGCCCAAAGGCCAGTCCTAATGAAGCTCCAGCTCTGGTTGCTCCAGGTCCTGTAACTGCAGGAGGCTCATGCTAATTCAGTGGGGATGTACAGCAGGTCATCTACCAGAGCTGTGTATGCGTGGCTCCTTTCCCAGGGCATAGCTGTGTGCACTAATGAACAAAGTCCCTTAACATTTCCTTATTCTTAGGCCACGGGTGTGCCCAACCCTGCTGTTGCTGCCAGGGTCTGCTGGACACATGGCCATTCAGTGCACCCAGACATGTTTTATGGCCCCATTTCTTGTAATGGCAACTCCACCTGTCTTCTATACCCAGCACAAGGCTAGGCAGATGTAAACAGCAGTTAGGCAAACACCTAATTTAAAATGCTAATACATGGAAACATCATATCAGGGACTAAAATTCTAGCTGAACTCACAGAGGTAGAGAAAGGAAGCTATTCAGGCTGTGAAGATAACGCAACAGTATCACCTACCTGACCTTGCTGCCACTTCTGCTCTTTGTAAACCACCAGCTAACCACACAGCATTAACACTCCTATGTGGTTTGCAGAATAGATATTTTAGTAATACAGTTACCAGAAGCTTGTGTCCATTCTAGAATGTTTGGTCAACTATTTACTGAAGCCATGCACTTTTGTTCATCTGCTTTGGTCTGGACATTTATGTCTCACCTGTATCCTTCCTGAGAGCACAACCTGTTTTCTAAGGAGACTGTGATACAGCTCTGCAAGATGAAAGAAAAAAAAAACACAAATAAATGAGACTACATGAACCCAGCAATTAAGAATAAAGCTTCAAACTTTATTCATTGACTTGAGTACAACAGTGATGCAGATTACAGTGGCACAGGAGTGCAGTATGTGCTGTTTGCAGTATGACAGTTGAAACAGTAATTGTACAGAACAGCAACCCAGCTCAACTGTTCATTATGCATACAAGCAGACTTACAAGACATCGACTCATTTCTACAGGGAGACTCACAGAGAGCTGTCTCACAGATGAGTGGGAAACACAGGGACACTTCCCTGGAACGCTGGTTTGTTTGACATGCAGAGGGAGGAGAAAAGAAAAAATTAAAAACAAAATCCTATCACCAAAATCTACTCTTTTAAAAATAAAATATACCTCTGAAAAAAATTAGTTTCAGTTTCCAAAGCTTAAAAAAAAGTCCCAGATGTAAGGCCCTCTTACAGGAAGAGTTATCAGCAATGACCTAGTCGCACTGCCTGGACAAGACAGACCCAATGGTGATACTCTGAGACTCTTCTGGTCTCGACAGATGAAAAGAGCCTGCCTGCTCCCAAATGTGCAGACATCAGTGAGAGAATCCACTGACCGCAGTGGGTTTGCACTGGGGGACCTGTCAGAGCGCCCACGGGAGCCAGGCACAGCCCGGTAAGGCACCGCTGGGATTTGCTTCTGCTTCTTCAAGACTTTCTACACTTCATTTCCTAATGCCTAGGAGCAAGGTCCTATGGGCTTCAGCCTTACAAGTCCTGGGAGAAGCACTCATATTAACTATAGTGATTTCTGGCATACCAGGTTACGGCTTGCCTTCAGTCATTTCTTTTTACCTCACAAGAAGGATCATGGTGCACGTGGAAGGAGCACCTCTTCACGTGGACAAGCGTTTTTGAGGAAATCATTAGCAGAAATCTATTTCCCTGCTAGAAGCCCTTTGGGCAACAAATAATTTATTTTGCATACAGGCAAACAACATTAATGGCCAATTAGATTCCCACTTCCTGCACTGATGCTCACATTAAAATTAATAACACTTACTCCCTCTACGCAACTGCCAGCATCACATAGCTCCTGCCAGTAGAGTTGCCTCACTAAAATCTCAGCATCTTTGCATTGTAACAGATTTTTTGTTTTCTACTTTATCAAGCACAAAATAGTTGTGTGGGAGAAGTCAGAAGAAAAACTCACCAGCAGGAACGGTCCTGTGACCCACAGCGATAAGAGTGTTTCTACACTAAGAGAAAGGCTCTTCACTCCATAGCAGTGGTGTAAAATCATACCATGTGTTGGCAAGATCACTCCTTCCACATCTACACATTATGACTATGCTGGACTCCAGCAGATATGTTGGCAAAGAACTGGACCATGACCTGGGCCTAAGCAAATGTGAAAGGGGGTTGTGGGACCAAGCCTCAAGAGTCTGCTGGGAAATGACTGGTATTTCAGCACAGATCAGCAGATTTTTTCGCTTCCTGCATGTTTTATGCATTGCTATTATCACTGACTTGAGCAAAGATGCTCATAATCTACAGGTGCTCCAAACTTGACTTCTCCACAGTCTGAAATAGGTAATACAAACTGGCATGCATTTCTTCTAAGTCTGCTAAACACCACTCCAGCAAACTCTGGAGCAATCAAGCTTGGACCAGATGATCACACAATCAGAGTTGTTTGAGTTGGAAGGGACCTTTAAAAGTCACCTGGTCCAACTTCTCTGCAATGAACTGGGGCATCTACAGCTCCATCAGGTGCTCAGTGCCTGGTCCAGCCTCACCTGAAATGTCTCCAGGGATGAGGATCCATCACCTCCCTGGGCAACCTGTTCCAGTGCTTCACCACCCTTACTGTAAAAAACTTCCTTAAACCATATCTAAACCTCCCCTCTTTTACTTTGAAACTCTTGTCCTATCACAACAGACCCTGCTAAAGACTTCGTCCCCTCCTTTCGATACTGAAAGGCTGCTCCCAGGCCTCCCCAGAGACAGTTCCAGCTCTCTCAGCCTGTCCTTGCAGGGGAGGTGTTTGCCTTGGATCACTTCATGGCCCTCCTCTGGATGTGCTCCAACAGGTCCATGTCTCTCCTGTACTGAGGACTTCACATCTGGACACAGTGTTCCAGGTGACATCTCACCAGTGCAGAGTGCAGGGGAAGGACCACCACCCTTGACCTGCTGCTTATCCTTGTGAATCCCTTCCTACTTGGGATATTCTATGATTCTATAGTTATTCCACCTGTCCTCCTCCAGAACTTCATACATCTCCATGTGCTGATATTAGCTGACATGGCAGTGACACTCCAGGAGCAGCAATGGCTTAAAGAAAGGGATTTCATTTCAAAACATGTCTAGTTTCAGACTATTTGCAGCAAGGGAGAGCTTGGGCACTTCAGTGCTAGGCGCAGACAGACTTGGGGCCAGACAAGTTGGTAAGGCGAGTTGACATCTGTCTTGACAGGACTAATAGCATTACTGGAACCACAGAGCTCTCTTGCCTCCACATGCAGCTATTAAGAAACTTCCTGTTTCCCTAGTCTAACCTTTCACAGCACACTGCAGCTATGTGCACGATGCATCACAAACTATGTTTAATGAAAGGCTACTAACCAAACTGAGAACAAAAATGTGTTTCTGAGAGTTATGCCAGTAAAATGTCTCCTAAATGACACCAGCGTGAAATGGTAACAAAAAGAAAATCATGAAGTTCTGTGAGTGAGCTTCACAAGAAATTACTCTTCCAGTTGTACAGAAAGTTTAGGATCCCAGTTTAGGATCCCAAAGAAACTTGGGATGGGACACTGTCAAAGTTGAGATGCTAACATTCAACTCCCTAAACAGAGGCCACAATAGATCACGTAATTTCATTGAGAAACAGCGGACAGTTTAATAATTTCTAAATCTGCTTTCTCAAGTGGGAAAGTGACCTTGCCTCCTGCACACTCCATACGTCACAGAACAAGGCATCTGTAAGTGACAGCCTTCATTACAGACTTACTGCTGCCTATTTAACACAACTAGTTGGAAATTCCAGGTTAACTTCTTGCACAGCATCTCAACTGCATCTGTATATAATTCAGTTTTGCACACGTGTGGTTATTTTGTAATTCCATCCTGCACACCTATTTTTACAGGTCTTTGCTCATCATTCTTAAAGCAGAAGGGGAAAAAACAAGCGATAACCAGTTTTCGGTCCTCTCAGCAGAGACTGTTGACAGCACTGTTTGATAGGACTTCATCAGAAGCTCAGATGCTTTGCAGGAGACAGAAGTACTTGAGTGTGTACTTAAGGCATATTCTTACACACTTAAGTATTTACTGAATTATTTAAAGTCTAGTTACAAAGCTCTATGTTGGATTACAGTATTCAAATTTATCAGCCACAAGGGAACACTGAGAGGGGAATTACAAAGAATCATCTAACAGTGCAGAGCTGCCCAACAAACAATACACTACTGGATTGATACTAGGAAAATGATTCACTGATTACAAAGACAGTTCTCCCCAGGGCTGCATTTCCTTTTTATTAGGTGGGAAGAGCAGATTAAAGTTGAGAAAGTGCTGCAGTGACAACTGCTAAGAGCCCACTGCAAAACACATGCTGGCTGGCTGCAGTGTATTCAGGGTGTGAGATCTTTGGGGTGCGTCTGCTTATAGGTGGCTGGGATAGTTAACAGGAACTAAGCATAGGCATGATACTAATGCTCAGAAAACCCTCGTGGTCTCAATCAGAAGTAAAGCACTGACTATGCTCCACACCAGCAAGATATGAACCAGCACCAGCCCAAAAATCCACTTAGGAGATTAATTGTATCTGCAGCATCTAAGCTGGCTTCTCTTCATTCCAACCCATGCTGCAACTGCAACTTTAAATTCTCAGCTGATAAGGCAGACACAAATTATCTTGTCATTTTTCAAAGGGTGGAGGAATGGGTTCTTTTCTTTTTTTCTCTCTGTTTTTTTTTTTTTTTTTTTTTGGAGGAAGAGAGAAGACAACCTGCCTTAGTCATCTCTGAAATGACTGGGTAGGATATTCACATACACTGTTCAACACCTAAAGCTGAGGGCTGGCAGCTCACATCTGTGACAGCAGTCTTCGTATCAGAAAGGTCTGTTGTCAAGGTGACCTGAGATACCTACAAAGCTCACTGTGTTTGGGTGGCAGCAGCGCAGCATCACCTATAGGATACGAATTGGTAAAGTTTAGAGAATTTGAATACTTCAAATGATCAAATCCAAGTGTTCTTCTCAACATAAGGCCACAATTTGCAGGTAACGTACACTGAATTTTGGAGACTAGTGCTCACAAAGCTTATGACCGTAAAATGGATGAGGTTTCAGCTATCACTCAAAAATGCATCTCTAACTGCCAGTGCTCCTCGCTCCCATTTGTTTCCCAGTGTTCCTCTAAAGCCATTTCAGATGCTTGTTCTGAAATACGAAGTAAAAAATGTTGAACTGATCCTTGCTGTAATCTCAGTGAAGTCCAGATAGCCAAGCCACACTCAGCTGTGTGGTACAGTGTTCAGTGGGGACCTGTGTTCAGTGGGGACAATGCTGCCAGGTCTGCATGTGAGAACATTCTCAATCACACCCCTTGGACCCACCATTCACTTAGCTCCAGAGCATGGAGCACATGAACCACAGTGACCTGCTCTAGCAGGACCACCTATACCAGCAAAGATGGGGCAGGATTGGGCAGTCCTGCACATTTCATGGTGAAATGCCATTTGGTGACATACAGAACTCAACACAGTGGTAGTGAACCTCACAACTACGTGGGACTGTTTCCTCTTCCTGACTTCCAGATATTAACTCTAATGTCTAATGTAACAGAAAATACAAAGGTTCTGACGTCTCCAGTGCCGAAAGTTTCTGCATTAAGAATGAAACCTTGATATTCTTTGACAGACACAGAACCTAAATGACTTTCTCCAATACTAGGAGATGGTCATTAGTGCAGTTTGCATTGGCAGTTAAGCATCAAGAAGAGAAAAAGCTGATGCTGCAGCCACAATGCATTCATTCAGTTACTTTGGTGCTCGTGTCCTTCTCTGTACAGGACCTGCCCAGAAGCAGTTAAGATATATATATATATATATATATATATATATATAGGCAGTTATTTTTCAAGCTGCAATATAGTGGAAGAAGACTGAAAGCAATAAAAAGTTCAACGCAGCTCAGAAACCACCTTGCATGATTTCTCTGTCTTCATAAACCAAGTCAGGCACAAAGGGAAATAAAAATAACCAAGGCTGGAGCTTTGAAGCTTCAAGAGAGGGGAAAAAAAAAAAAAAAAAGATACTGCACCTTCTTTCCCAAGCAGAAGTGAAAAACTACTTTAACTAAAAAGGGATGCTTGGCCCCATGCACTGTGCCATACTGACAACAGCAACTGCAATTTAATCAAATAACCTCTATTGGCAGAGCACGGCACCTTGGTGGTACCTTTTAATTCATAAACATTCCTCCTAAAGAGGGATGATAATTTATGTTGACTTGCAGAGAACCACCTTCCCTGCTGATGTAAAATCCACTGCAGTCTAAGGAGCTGTACCTAGTAATTAATTACTAGAAAGGAGTCTGTCCAAAATCTCTGGGTGTGAACCAGGGCACACTTAAAAAAGCATTTTCTCACTCTATCATTCCCACCTTCAGCTACCCATCTGTTGGACTAAATTACAAGAAAACTCTTCTCCATCATTCCCATTACTCAGGTGATCTTACATTATTTGACTGGTTAAGCTCCAGCCTTATTAATTCAAGCAGAAAGTGTGGAAGAGGGAAGACCGACAACAGACACAGCAATTCACTTCCTACATCCTAGCAAATATATACAAGTACAAGGAGTCCGCTTTCTGAGAATTCAACTGGTATGCATGTAGGTGAGCAAAGTGCCCACCTTTGCAGATAGTATCACACAAAGATGCAGTTTCAAAAGACTGCCGGTGAAGAAACAGTTGTGTGAAAGACTGGACGTGACCATATGGATGTGTTACAAAGGGCTTCTCCTTCACTATGGAGTATCTGTCTTTCTCTCCATATATACACATATATACACATACATACACAGATGAGTAGATATAAATACATGTGCGCACACACACAAACACACATACATATATATATATTATATATATATATATATTTTTCTTTTCCAGTTCTTGGAGTGGTTACAACTACTTTAGTCTACAAGGCATCCTAAGGGCACTTCCTGGCTCTAGCAATAAAGTTCCATCTTGTTATGGAGAGAAGTAAAGGGAATATCACTGAGGGAGAAGAAAAGTTTCCTATCTTGTATATTTATCATGTAAAAGGCCGACGCCTCTGAAAATTATCATTGTTGTTTCTGAGCCCAGATATTTTCTCCCTGTGTTGCAGGAGGGCAAAGGTTCATCTTGTTCAATTGCTGTGTGTAGAGATGCCACTACGCGGTTTTCCCTTTTTGATGGGTAAGTGGATGCTTCCAAATAGTTTGGATTGCAGGATACAACATCCTACACGTCATTTTTAGTTGTTTGTTTAAAGGGAGATTAAAAGAGTTTTGCTTTTTTCTTCATGTCGTTGCGTCTCCAGAGAGGTAACTTGTCAAACTCCTGTATCGTCATGCCAAATATCTCTTGGAAAACTTCAGGTGCTAAGTGACGCTTTAAAAAAAGAAAAAAAAAGAGGGGGGGAAGAAAAGGCAACGGTCAGTCAAAGCTGAAAAAGATGCAATGGGAGACAGGAGTGCCGTAAGGGATTTCATGTCACTCTAGATGCCACTGCAAGATCTAGCGATAGAAGCTTGATGAAATACCGAAACACGTATCCAAGTTGTAATGAACCTGGATTCTCAGTGCACCAATAACATTTTGCTGTTTGTAACCTCATCCGAAAGGTTACAAAGGGGATCAGAAGAACTATTTCAGTTGATGAATGAGCAAGACAGAATAAACAAGTCTGAAGTTACCCAACATGCAGTGATAGATAACAGAAAAGAAATAGCACTTGCATGCCCCTCTCCAGGCTTTAGCTAGTCATCGCTATTCACACAGGGAAGTGCAGGCTCTGGGTTTAGGTGAGCTTTGTTGAAGGGCTGCAGGTTGAACGTGCCACGCTGCAAACTTTGAGAAGGAAGACATCTGGCCAGACCAACTGCCCAGCACATTTCTCTACAACAACTGAAACATGTCTTGTGTGAGTTACCTCTGTTATTCCTCTGCCCTAGAGTGCACTGGACAGAGAAAGTCCCTCCTCCTGGTGTTAACATAACACCACCTTGAATTTCCATTAGCTAGATACATGATTGCTATCTACAAATGTAAATCAGTGGATACTCACCCGAGTTGTCATGCCTTCTTTCATGCATCTCCACAAGATTAATTAACTAGAAGTAGCCTAAACATCCCCCACCAAGGAATTTCATTGGGCTGCTTATGTGTAACCCACAGATTGGTGGACAACTTTTATTTGTTAGTAGAGATTTAAATCCTCATGTTTTTGCATAATGAGTCACTCTAACACTTACCAACGAATCAGAGAAAGTTAGACTTTGGATTCTCAAAGGTGGTTGGTACTGACACTTCACTAAGAAAGGATGCAGGCCCAGACAGAGCTTTGCCCCACTCTGACATGGGTCCTATGACTGTGAAATGCTTGACCAATTTCGGTCTTTTTTACCAATTTGCAAGTATGAAAATAATTGCTTGAAAAATAAGGGGGTTGTGAACAGCTCTGCCCAGGAGCAGGGAGACAGAGGCATTCCTGCTCAGAGATGTGTGACTCCTGGCCTAGCACCACTTGCTGAGAAGCTGCTGCTTCCTCCTCGTCTGATTCCTTCTTCACCATTTACTGCTGAGAAATCTTGTTAGTCTAACAAGGACCCACACGTTAGTGTTTGAGCTTTCAAGTGTCCAACAACAAACAACTTCAGCAGGAAAAAGCATTTAGGAACTTGCTTCTCTTACCTCCAGCCTGGTTCTGTCTACATCTTTTAGTATTTTATTTCGCCCTCTGTTGGTCACCATGAGTATTTCATATGGAAAAATCTGTTAACAATGTATAAAAAGGGGAAAAAAGAGAGGTATTTACATTTCAAAACAAAAAGAACACAACGTGTCTTATTTTCATAGCCACGCAAACATTCTTTTTCCTTTTCAACGAAAATTACAGCATTTCTTTTTTGAAAGATGCATGAAAGACAGGCCAATCTGGACAAAGCAAGAACTTGTTCAGTATCAATGTCAAACTGCCTCACACATTTGAGGTTCTGTGTACACTGATTTTTATAGTGCACATAATATATTAGCTGGCTTTGTTAAGACAGAATTCTGTCTATTCAATATACTTTCTCATCTAGCAATGTACAAATTTTAGGGATTATTAAGATACGTAGATTTGGCACTCATTGGTCTGGCTGATGGTTGCCAAAACGGACAGCTCTAAGAAAACAAATTCAGAGGACTCTTAAAAATACATGAACATACATCTGACAGTCCATCTGAAGGAACAGTAACTCTGAAAAAGCAAGATATTCATTAGTGGGGGCTACTGCATTCAACAAAATTCATCAAAGGATTTTCTTTGCTTGTTTGGACAGTTAAAGAACATACGTACATGGACTAAAGAGATGTTTTTGTAGACATATTCATCTTACACATCTTCATCTGCTTCAGAAGAGCATCTGTCCCGTACATCTCCCATTACATTTCCCTTGATTTCCCTCTACATTTCAAATAACATCCAGAGCTTATACAAATCAACTACTGCCAACAATTAATTCCTGGATGCATAAATGATTTAATTTTTCTTCTGCTTGTACAGGTTCTAAGTTCGAAGTAAAGTGTTTAAAGTCAGTGGGTCTCAGATCAGTTTAATGCAACAGAAACAATGATGCTTAAAAAGGATTTCAGAAAACCATATAGATTAAAATCATTCCTGGCAAACAAAACTGTTTTAGCCAGATACTTGCCCACTGAATGAAATCACCAAAACTCTCCTGGACAAATAGCTTATTTATAATAAAATTCTATTAATTATTTTAACAACAGAAGAAATTCCACCAAATCAGGTTCTGGGTAGTACTAAGCAATTAAGTTAATTCCACTGTAAACGATTACGCCAATGAAATGCAATAAATAAGATTCAGGCACCAATGAACACACCACGGAGTTTATTGTAAGTAATAATAATTTAAGTAATGTGTGCTTACATACCAGCTTTAAGATAGGATTCTTAGGAGACTCTGACATTGTCACAATGGTACAATTAAGTCTATACTTTGAATTACATTGTTTATGTTCAATAGTGGAAATGGCTACCATATACAGCATTAAAGGAAACTGAAATGCAACTCTTCAAAATACTTAAACAGGCAGAGTTTAAGTCAAGGTCTATGGTCATAAGTACATTTTATATTCAGGTATTCACAGTAAGGTATGTTAGGATGCACAAATTCTGTCCCTTCTGGTGAACCGCTTGGTAAGATTTGGGCTTTCTGAAATTTACTAATTTTCACTTCCCAGGTGTTTCAGGCTGACACTGAGTTGGCTTTTTTCACTTCATAGAATCACAGAATGGCTTGGTTTAGAAGAGACCTTGAAGGTCACCTAGTAGCCACTTGATCAGGTTTAAATTACTGTTGGATCATTGACATGAACAGAACTGCCACTTAGCATAACCTCAGGGACTGGCATAACCTTTTTAAACATCAACAGAAAGTGACCTGTACTCTCATGAACATTCCCACAAATTTTATCATTAGTAGTATGACAGAATTTGTAACCCACCACAAAATTCCAAATAACAGGATGCATTAATGGCAGTGAGGGCTGTAAGAAATGCTATTGCACTGAAAAAAGAAATCATTTGGAATAAAAAGCATAATCTCAGAAGTCAGGGATGTTCTCAAGGTCTATACTTACATAGTATATAAAAACATTTGTTCACGTATACTGCACTAGGGTCTCAGCTCATAAAGCTAAGGTTATTGCCTTCTACAATTTGTCTGGGGGTCACCTGGAAGCACAAGCAGTAATCTGGTTTGCATATAAAGCTCCTCACTTAACTGCAGCAATGCTGATCCTTGCAACTCTGGGAAAACCATGATTTCTCAGAAGGTTCACCAGCCACAGAGAAAGTTGCAAGACTTAGAGCACAGCACTGGCTGAAGCCTTTCTGTAGATTATGTTCATTTTTGACTCAGCCACCTCTAGACACAGCAGCAAAAGCATTTTTATCTATACCTTAACTCATATTCAGCTGATATTACCTCTTTTTCCCAACAAATTTTGTAACAAAGTTCTTATATAGGGAATTCTTATATAGGGAACTAAACATTATATAATATTTCAGGCACCATTAGCCTCAAACCAGAGATCTGTGTTGAGCCTCAGCCATGTGTTGTGAGCCATAATATCCTGTGTCACTTTTCAAACATAACAGATCCAAGACTTCGCAATCAAGTGTGGTCTGCTATTTTGGCTACTGAAAGCTTGACAGAGAACTAGCTATTTACTGAGCCCTTCAGTATCTTCATTGTGTCTCTGAGAAAACCTGCTCCACCCAAAAGGAGCACAATGACTGCCTTCAGCCAGAGTATGAATACCCAGAATAGGCAAATTCCAGAACAAAGGGAAAGGTTTGGCACAAAGGGAGAAGGGATTGAGATGAGGTAAAGAAGAACAAGGGAACCAAGACATCTCCTGTATTTTATCTGCATTTCACAGTCAAATCTTCATTATCTTGAACGAAAGTGAATAACATCTGCACTTGCCTTTGGCTCCAACATGTTAGGCATAGATACTCCTCTGTCCATTCTCATTCCAGGGACATGACCATCCGGAAGGGACTGCATCAGATACAGGTATACATCAGACACATAGGTTACACACACAGAGGGTAAAGGCACTCAAGTAGTGGTGAAAACAAAGGTGAATTTGCACAGAGACTCCCTTCAAGCCTTATTGCTTACTCTGACCACACAGGACATTGCCATGGTTACAGGCAATCAATTCTCAGAAGCATGTTTTCCTGAGGCATCCTTCGACCCTCCTACCACTACATTTTCTGACATTACTGGGGCTGGATGGACCTGGGGACCCTGAGAGAATGGCAGGCCCTTCCCAACCCCAATCATCAAGTAAGGCTCTTATCTGGAACAAATACAGAGAAGCATACATTCAGATTCTGCTCAACAGTACACATAAGCAGCCTGTCTGCCCTTCATGTGACTTAGTGTATCAGCCAAGGTGTTGGATTGGTTTGCTTTTTTTTTCTTTTTTTTTTTTTTTGTGTGTGTGTGTGTGTGTGTGTGTGTGTGTACAGTGGAAAATATTGACTATGAACAAGAACAAGGATAGGGCTGTTGTCAAAAGGTATTGTTTTGACACAGGCTCAATTACATCTTGAATATAATACATGAAGAACTTCTCTCTTCTCCTATAATCTTATTTTCTTTCCATTCATCACAGTTTTGATATATCATTAACAAATACATCCACATCATTAAAACCTTTCTTAAATTGTCACTTCATAATGTGATTGTGTTGAGGGGCCAGCCAGGCTCAAACTATTCTGGAAAAAATCCCTTAGATAGGTTTTGGGATAAAAGGGTTAATTTTTGCAAGCATGTGTCTTAATAGCTCATCTGTGGTGGTAGCACTGTAGAAAGATATTGATTAGTCATCTTGTCTGAAGAATAAATTCCAGGGCAAAAAGGCTCCTGGTATGGAAGAAAATTGCCTCCAGAAAATTATTTCAAAGCATCTCTGGGGCTGGTACTAGACAGGCTGGAGATAAATCTACCCTCAGCTGTCCAGAAAGAACTATTGCAGGCAACTCGTATTTGAACAGACAGTGGATTTTATCTCAGACTGGTCTGAGCCTTCTCAACCCAGTTCTGGGGAGGTACAAGGAAGGAGGAATCTGAGACTGTGCCTGTTTTTTATCAATTAAGAGTCTACATTGGTGATTATGCTTAAACATGCAGGTAAATCAAAGTTAATGTCTTAAGAAACCCTTCCCTGTAGCAGAAATTCAGACTTAAAAAGAAAGTGGATGCTTTTAAATCCGTTGTCAGTTGATTGATGAAAACCCGTACTCTACCTGGAAATCTGAAAAACAAAAGAGAAATCTCTTTAGCTGCAGAGGGTTGAAGAGGAGATAGACACAGCCTGCCAGATAATCCTTGTGTTTTGTGATCTACTTCATCTACTCAAAATCCCACCTGATTCTATACAGTCAGCAAACCTCCCTACTTTAGGTCTTAGTTTGTGAAGAGCAAAGCACTCCCTACATTGCAGACCACTTCAAGTGTGCTTCTCACTCTGGAAAACTAAGTCACATTAGAAACATCAGAGGCAGAGAACCATAATAGTTGGCAAATAAATAGCCTACTAATATTCAACTTTTTAGAGCATGATTCACCTGACAACAGGTAGCTCTGTAGGATTCCTTCACAGTCTATAAAGAGACACAAGCAGAAGCTTATGATCTTTACCATAAAGTATCCAAGACAGAAGGGATCAGTCTCACTCAGAAGGCAAATCTGTCTCTCTCCCTCTCTCTCCCCCCACCAGTAAGCTCAAACATATTCAAAATATTAATTCAGAACATATTTCAGTTACCTACAGACTATCACCTGCTTCCAATGTGAACAATGCTAAAGCATGCTCTTGGCAAAAACAGGGATGATAGAAGATTTAGCAATATAAACCCAAACTTTTAAACATGTACTTGCAGAGTTTGAGTTAACTATCAAGTTTGCCCAGAGAAGTTAAAACCACTTAACAAATATAAAGAAAATCCACGATCTTAATATGAAGCAGCAGAAATGAGCACTCATCGCAATACATTCTCCATATACAATACATAAAGAAGTGGCATGTGAAAATCCTTACCTCTAACCCCACCACTCACGTCCCCATAACTGTTGTACTGACCAAAGTCTGTAGACACCGGCTGTAACAGGAAAAGAGGGACATGCATATAAATCCACAGTTCATGGCTTCACCAGTGGGTTGATATAAGAGAAGTAACAAATTGTTTACTTTTTGAGTCTCAAAACATCTATCTCCTTACCCTGTGAAGTCCATTTTTTCCATAGCCAGGAAGAGAAGAGGTTTTGGAGGCTGAAGCGTGGGCTGTTGAAAAAGAAAGGGAAAAATTTTTTACAGAATCACAGAATCACAGAATCCCAGAATCACCCGGGTTGGAAGGGACCTCAAGGATCATGTAGTTCCAACCCCCCTGCCTAGCAGGGCCACCAAACACACACATTCAGATCAGGTTGCCCAGGACCCTGTCCAACCTGGCCTTAAACACATCCAAGGACGGGGCATCCACAACCTCCCTGGGCAGCCCGTTCCAGGGCCTAACCACTCTCCTTGTATAGAACTTCCCCCTAACATCCAACCTAAATCTTCCCTCCTTCAACTTCGATCCATTTCCCCTAGTCCTGCTGTTGTCAGCCCTTTTGAAGAGTCTACTCCCCTCGTGGGTGTAGGTTCCCTTCAGGTATTGATAGGCTGCAATGAGGTCACCCCGCAGCCTTCTCTTCTCCAGGCTGAACAAGCCCAACTCCCTCAGCCTGTCCTCATAGGGGAGGTGCTCCAGCCCCCTGATCATCTTAGTCGCCCTCCTCTGGACCCTTTCCAAAATCTCAATGTCTTTCTTGTACTGAGGGCTCCACACCTGGACACAGTACTCCAGATGGGGCCTCACAAGAGCCGAGTAGAGAGGGACGATCACCTCCCTGTCCCTGCTGACCACCCCTCTCCTGATGGAGCCCAGGATCCCATTTGCCTTTCGAGAGTTTTTACTGAAACAATCCCATGGAAAAGCAAAACTAAGAACATTTGAGAAATCAACTTGCAGAAAAAAATACAGATGAAGAACTAAGGGGAAGCTTAACCAACTGAGATATGCTGATTTCAAGAAGCTAATGTCTCAGTTCCAAAATATCACAACTTTCCACACGCTCTGTAAGTTACATGCAACACAATCATGTCATAGTGCCAGGCTCAATCAAAGTGACCTCTACTAAGCTGAAAGTAATGAGAGCAAAATAACTTTCCAGCCTTCAGATAGATAAGAGTATTGCTATATATCTTACAATAATAACAAGAAGGGGATCAAAAGAATCCAAGAAGATTAGCACTGTTTGACTGGATAGGTTTCCTGTTAAGAGTCCCATTGTATTTCACTCTCCTAAAGTGGCACACCTGAGTTACATGTAACCATACCTTCTAAACCTTCAACAAACTTTTTTTCCACTCATCCTACCTTAATTATTATTACATTCATATGCTCAGCTTCTGCTGGTGCACAAGCCAATATACATGAATAGCATACGCTGCTCTGTGTTCCTAATTTTTTTGCTGTAAGGGAGAAAAGGCTCTTTAAGTCATGTAACACTGCTACTGACAAAGGTTTTGGCCCTGACTTGGCCAGGACAAGGATCAGAACAGATAGTAATGGCTGAATTCAAACAAATCTTAGAACGTGGCAGCCTGATCTGATGTTATAGTCATCTTATACATAACACAACACTTCCTAGAACATGACAGGGTTCAACTCCATGAAATGGGGGTAAAACAAGGCATTAGCCCATCCTTTTCACGGAAGAACAACAGAATACCACTTACACATACCAAGCAATCTCCCAGTGGTGCCTCTGATGGAAAAACACTGAGTATGTATCCATGTGGCATTCATTACTCACAGTTCATTATTAGCTTCATTGCTCAGATGAATTACCTGGAGAATCATAACGACTGGCAGAAAAGGCTGACCTCTCCTTTTCCATCTCTTCCTTCAGTATCAATTGTCCAAGACCAGAATTAAGCTACAGACAGCAATTAAAAATATATGAATCAAATAAAACTGGCAGCGGAATTATAAGTTGCTTACGTAAATAGAAGGGGCAATTTTTGGATGGTGTTTAGAAGCAGTATGAAGATAAGGTTATAATAACCTTCATGAGCTGCTCCTCCTGCAGTTGCCGACGTCTCTGTAGCTCCTCATCGTCTTCCTCTCTTCCACTTGACCTGCGTCTCATGTCTGCTCCTGCTCCCATAAAACCACAGTACAGACAGCTTTGTGTATCAGTTCTTTCTCAGTTTGATTTACTGAATAAACAAAGAAGTATTTTCTTGCAGATTCAAAAGACTTATTCAAAACTTGCCCTCCATAAAACTCATTCACACAGCCTGTCCTATGGCTATCAGGCTTCTTATGAAATCAACAAGAAGCTGAACTGCCCATAGGTTTCCAATCGAGCAACAGTGTTTTTGGTGTCAGGCTTTTGCAAGACTTCAGTAAAACAGAACTCCTATTTTGACAGTGGTGCTCAGCCTAGCTCTGCAGCAAAATATCACACTCAAAAAAAACAAAAAACAACAACAACAAAAAACCCAAGCTGAAAAATCTGAGGGTTGAAGATTTTTCAGTGCTTAATCCTATACAATGTCTTTATTTCTGAATAAAATATGACCACGAATACAAATCTACAGTTTCCAAGAAGTTTGGATTAGTTTCTCAGGTGTAACTAAATCACCTGAGAGCCAATGTGCAAAGCAGCTTTACTCAAAAAAAAAAAAACAAAAAAAAACCCAACAAAACCCAACCAAAATTGTCATCCACTGCCAGGAATATGAGTTAAGAGCCAACATTTCCAGGAAAGCCTCCACCTCTGACACATGGCATAACAACGCTGTGGTTACAACAAGCACTGTCAGGAGAGTTTCAGGTACACAGATGTTATCACTACATTGTCACACAATTGCCACTGCATACACAGCTCCTTTGACTGATCATTGAGCAATCCCATCCTGCCACCTTTCCCTGCACGACACAGAAATCCTGTTCCCTTCACATCCCTTCACAGAAACCTGAAGGCAAGGTCTTCAACATATCTGACATGACTTCATAAACCAACCAGGCTATATAACTTATTCTGTACTACATTTTACAAGTGGGGAGAGGGGGGCCAACAAAATCAACAGAAATAACATAATATTAAATGAAAGTTTTAAAATGAACATGAGCATGACTTAAAATAAGATATTTGCAGAGCAAAAGAAAAATACAGTCTGTAGAAACAATAACTGACAAAATGGGACTTTTTTAGTCCATTTTAGTCCATTATATGCAGTCCTTGGTTCTTGTCATGAAAACAGCCATGTGGTTGGAAGCAGTGACACTTTCTGTGAATATTTACTATTAGCTTAGGACTAAAAGATCACATAGACAGTGACTGAGAGAAGTCATGCATGTGTGATACAACATACTATTTTTAAATCACAATACGGGAGTTTACATAAATTTTCTATGGATTAGTATTTGTGTGATTACTTCCAACATCCTTTTTCAGAATCTCCTCTGCTCACTAGCAGTTATAAAGACAGAGAAGTGCAGAGTCTCACCAGAATAACTGCACTCTGGGGCAATCACTTGGAGCACAATACTCACAGCCTCTTCTGGCAGCTACTTTACTGATCAGAACCTTTTAATCCACACCACTTGTAGAGTTCTTTTTGCATACCTATGGCTGCAAGGGAGGGAGGACCTGGCCAGTGGTCCGTCTCAATCTTTGGTATCTCGTTGGGTGCTGGTGCATGAGCTGCTGGGAACTTGGAGGACTTGATGATATCCTCGGAGGACTTGCTCTGTGCTGCCAAAGCAGCTGCATCTAGATGGCAATCAGGGAACTTAGCCATGTAATAAGCTATATCGATATAAGAGGTTTCCATATTTTGACAAGATTTACTGATTTACAAGAAGGACATTTTCAAATCCAAACATTTTCATGTTTTGCCTTTCTAATTGCAATTGGAAACAAAGTAATGCTTTCCTCTTGCCTACAGATTAGAATCAAACCTTCCCATCCCACAAACCCACCCCCAAAATAACCCTAAATCAGCTTTGGGTTTTACTAGGGTTTCAGAGTGTTAAAATGATCAGACAAGAGTGAGAAAATTCAGTCTAGCAGTATTTGATGGTATCTCTTAAAGACCACCAATGAAACCAGATTTATGCACTGGTTTGTCTTCTCTCAAGAGTAAGAAAGCAAGCAGATCAGAGGGACAGCATTATTTTTAACTCTACTGACGCTGATTATTTCCTATGCTTCTGTGAAAAGCTGCAGAACAAACAAATAAAGGAACCGTATCTTTCCTGCTGCATGTACTTGATTATGAGCATGCAGTAGCAGTAAAAGGAGATGCCAATTTATTTATTAACTACTAAACTTCATTAACATCAACTTCGCATGGACAGCACTTCCAATGAAATGTACCTCATCAATAACATGTATCAGTAGTGGGACATTCATTTAAGATAGCAATCAAAGCCAAAGTCCCTTAAAAGGACATGTGAGGATGCGCATTATGGCTTTCACATCTTTACATTAAAAATAATAAAATCCTACAGGACTTAGTTAGCACTAAAAGCAGCCTTAACCATCTCCCCTCTGCAAACTGTTAGTCCAAAACACCTTTCTCTTATATGAAGCCATCATATAAGACAAAAGGATTCTGAATGTACTTCTTGCTTTTGTTTTACGCAGAAAGACATCTGTTAAAGCAATGAAGTACTTTGTTACTCGTCCAACACATTCAGGGTACTTCAGGAGAATCAACATTAGAAATCATGGGGAATTTTGAGAATTTTATGATTGAGAAACTACATGTAATTATAGGTATGGAGGAAGCTGGTGAGGGTTTACAAAAGCATGACTTCAAAGAGTACTTACGTACTTATTAGAATTGGTGATGTCAGTGGTTAAACATTCACGTGTTAATGGGAGATGAGAAGGTACATTAAAACCATAAAAATAAACAAAAGTAACGTTAAGACTTCTAAAACAAGCATAAGATTTGAGAACTTAAAAAAGAACAAGGAAAGAAACCTGATGTAAAACTACAGTGGTGTTCTTAGCAATATTCACTCCTGTCTACAGAATGGACACCCTGGGCCTTCTTAACCATCTCAGCAAACTGTTCACCCAAGCTCTGTAGTACTGCTAATTTGCTGTTTCACTGGATAGAGTCTGCAAAGGGCTGAAAGGTCTTTAAGTGGAAGTCACTTTTCTTTCACCACATTACATGCGATTTCCTAATTAAAGTTTTCTATTGACAGCTGAAGGAAATAGCAAACACTTAAAGGTTCCTTGCTCTGCACTGTTATAGACCAGCAAAGCAGTTGGCTTCTGCCATCACTGTTATTCCAGACTTGCTAAAACAACATCTGCTCTGAAAAGATTAGAGCTGAGTTGGATACTGTTGTACAAGTCAGAATCTAAACACTGGAACAGCAGATAAGCCACACTCACTACCTGATCTACTTCACAGGGCTTGAGAATCAAACCAGCCCTGTCAGTCACCTACATCATTTTCAATATAAAAATTTGTTAGAAGCCAGAGTACATTCGGAATTCCAGTCTGGCAGTAACATCCCCATCATTACTGTCGTTGACATCAGTAATTGTACTTTGTCTGCTTAAAATAAGCATAATCCACAAAGTTCCTGACAAAGAATGGACTGCTGTTAATCCATTTTTTCCATGATCAAAATCTGTATTCTGAAAACATAAACTGAAAGAAGTAAAATACAGGAAGGCATTACAACTCTAAAAAGGTAGCAAAATCCTAGTTAATGGCAATTTTGCTTTTAATAGCAATGTGGCCAAGACTTAAGCCATAAGATTCAAATAAAACAACATGCTTTAAAACATAACCACCCAGCAGGATGTGCAACAAGAACTCTTTAAAGCTTGGATTACTGATTTTTGATGCTTTCAAAGTAAACACTGAATGCTTTTCAGTAGTCTGTGTGTATTTTAGTTGACGCTCCAGTTTCGATACAAAAAAAGAAAGATAATTTACCATGTTGCTTGTAGATTGGTGGCTTTCTGTAAATGTTGACACCTTGGTCTGTGAAATGGAGAAACAGAAAAGTGTTAATAGGAGAACTACTTCAGTTATTGGTAAAGGTAACACCAACACTAAAACAGTAGACAGACCAAATTAAGGATGTAGCCCAAGAAAAAGCCAGTGTTACACAGAATCAGATTGTCTGAAGAAAAGAAAACATAAGAACGAGTGACAAGTAGAAGACACGTGGTATGAAGTCCGTTGGAGCTGATTCTGTAACATGTGGATGCATTCAAATAATGAATAATTCATTTTAAATATTATCAGTGTGACAGACATTGGGAAATGCAAACAAGCAAGACATTTCAGGGGTGAAAAAACAAGCTATTTGGGGAAAAGTACCCCAAGTAACTTTTGTGGAAAATTGTGCTCCAGTCACAACAGCTCAATTTTCTTTCCGGCTGAATGGTTGGATTGAGGAGAATGCAGTGAGCCTACCATTCAATTCAAAAGCCAGAAAACAAAACAGCTGCTCCATACATAGTTTTGAACAGCCAACGGCACCTTGACTTCACAGGGTCGGTGTTAAGGGACATACTGTTCCTCCTCAAACACAAAGACTTAGATATATTTTCATGTAAGGATGACCACACTGCATACTATCAATGTAAGTCAGGAAAAAGTCACTACTCAGAGCCCTAACGTAAGAAATCTAAAGCATATTCAAAAGATAAAATATTTTTACAATAATGAACTAAGATGGGAGCTACATTGTTCTAAACTGCCCACCCACCCCAAACCAGCTCTTTAAGTATTCCACGCAGCCACAAATGCAGAAGTTAATTCAAAATCAGTGCTACAGTGCAAAATTTAAGTCGGTCTTACTGCAAGACCACAGTGAGCTACTGGAAACTAAGACATTTCAGACAAAACCCCATTTTGCTACTATATCATACTGCCTGAAAAAAATAAACTTTTCAATCACATTAGCATGAAGGAAGAAGAAAACGTTTTAAAAGTACATTTTGTTTATCACAGATCTCATCGAAGTGATACAGGAGACAACTTTTGGCATTAAGGAAAACAATATGTGGGGAAAAAAAAAAAAAAAAAAGTAAAACTATTTTACAGAACCCTATTTCCTGGAGTAAATGACAGGGAAATTCCTTGCACACAAATGCACTGAAGTATTTTGTGCTAGTGATCTTCTCACGGCTACTTGAACAGCAAATAGGCACAAAGGCTAAAGGGGAACCAGGCAGCAAGACTTTAGTGCACACGTGTACCAGACAGCTTTATGGGGTACGTGCACACAGCTCCTGGGCTGCACTGCTCCAGCTGAAGATGACAGCTCTCCCACCACACTGTGCACTGTGTACCCAGCTGGGCTCTCCGCACAAGTGCACTTCAACTTACTCACGTCCGAGCAGCCAGGTTAGCTTAGGCACTTCACACAGCCTACCTTGGCCAAGCCAGGTCACCCTGCCTGAAAGCGAACATCCACAGTTTGTCTGCCAGGTCTGAGGGCAGGAGGAAGAGCAGCAGCCTCTGGCAGTTTAAAGGGATACCAGACTGATGGGGAGCTGATGAATAACTGGACATAAGGCTTTCAGCTAGCACTGATGCAATCAGATGATGTGTGTCAGCAATCCTACGGACAGGACACAAACCCTCATCCTATCAAATCACGAGAGAGGTACTCTCACTTCAGAAGAGAACCCCCTTTATAGAGAGGGTATCCTCATGCATGATAACTACTGCAGTCTGTGTGCTTCTGCAAGGACTCCAAGGCACTGCATGAAACAGGTGAAGAAACATCCTCGCTTGGTTAAAAAAAAAACAACACCAACACAACAAAAACTAAAACCAGACCAAAACAAAAAAAAACAATACAAAAAGGAGGGAATATTAAAGTAGAACTGTTTGGTTCAAGACTGAAACCAGTCCCATCAGTGTAATGATGTAATGTGTAATGGCTCACTGGTCAACTCCTCTGCACGCTACTGTGAATCACAACCAATTCCTCCAAAGTTAGCAGAGTTACGCTCGTGCAACTGGGAGAAAAATTAAGCCCTCCGTAGCTTGTATTCAGCTCATGGGCCATTAGCAGACCCTGCAAAACATGGCATTCTAACAGCAAAATACCTGAGTAACACAAGTCAAAATCACCGTGAGCCCCCATTTCTGAAGGCACCACTCCTCCCACAAAGCTCAGGAGCAGGCAGACCCAAACCCTGCGTGCGCACCCCATGGCAGACAGCGTGAAACGATGGAGACAAGACAGAAGGTACAAAGGCTACATTCTACACTGTGACAGGACACCGAGACACACACAGTGCCAGCTCCTACCTGGAACATGGAAATGTTTAGGGGCCTGAGCGTAAGTTGGAGTGAGAGGGCGGCTGTCTGGCCGATAGGGGACAGGGGAGTTCCGACCGCTGGACGGCTCATTGCCTCCAATGAAAGAATGGAGAAAACAAAATGAGAAGAGGGAGAGCAATTAAAGAAAAATCAAATTAAAAAAGCAAGCCCAATCAAACCCAAACAAAATTGGTGGAATCAAAACGTCGAGGGAGAAAAGGAAGTTTAAACAAAAAAATACAAACACAAACAATAACAAAGCCCTGGTGACTTTTTTTTCCCCCTCATTTTCCTGCAGAGACAAAGATCTGTGTTCAGGCTGGAGTTGAGGTTTTAGCAGCTCGCACTCATTCTGACGGCATGCAGGCAGGAGCTGTGTGCTGGCAGCTGGTGATTAGATGGGCAATGTGGGAAAGAAGAATGGAAGGTTACTCAGCAATGACTTATTACAGAGATTGACATTGGAGTTAAAAGTCACAGGCACAGAGCACAGTAGTTGATATGCGAACTCAAAACAAAACCAACTCCAAGCAGGGTGAAGCATATGCTGGCAGCTACTTGTTCCCTAACCAAAGCGCACAAAAGCTACAGATGGAAAATAGCTGTTAGGCCACTTGGCCTGTATCAAAAGGCATACCTGCTCCTTACACATTCTTTCATTGGGTTAAGCCCTCTGATGGGAAGTTTATGATATGAAAAATCATGTGTAAAGCAATGCAACCCATCTGGGGGTTGGACTCGATGATCTCTGGAGGTCCCTTCCAACCCCTACAATTCTGTGATTCTGTGATCTGGTGGCTGCACTCAGATCACAGGTGCCACCCCAAGTCTATCAGTGCCACTCTTGGCTCCAGTGACAAATACTTCACGACTGCTGACTTAGCAAATATGAATCTAATGTTTAAAAATGTAATTTCCATTTGTGTGATTGCTCTTCCTAAAATGATTTCTTTGCCTTCTAACAATCCACACCAATTCAATAGTCCAGAAAGCTCCCATGACTGTCAGGGTGAAAGGGTTCTGCATGGCAGAAACACGCAGCTTGACTTAACAGCTGGATTTCCAAGCACATGACTGTGTGCACCATAAAAGAATGCTGCTGCCTTTTATTTTGTGCCATTCTTTACTGTAGTGCAAACCCACAAAAGCAAAACTTTCCCACTTGAGTGCTTCAGTTTGTATGGGTGCAGCTGACCACAGAGGTCTAAGACGTGAGCAAAAAACCCCTTCATTTTTTCAGGTACACACCACTGACTGAAAAACCCAGCAAAGCAAAATAGCTGACAGCTCCATGAGGACTGTAAAACACAACAGAAAAACCCCTGCAGGTCTGCTTTCAGCCCTAGGTTTCCTATGTTTCATTAGCGGACCAAAAATCTCAGACTCCACAAACTTCTTTTGTCTATATTATAGGAGGGAAGGAAAACAGAAGTTTTCTTTAAACTGTTCCTCTTTTAGCTGAGTGGTCATCTGCCAATCTTAAAAGTTACCAGAAAGGGGGTGGAAAGAATGCTCTTAGCACACCTCGCTGAGAGAGATGTGCCAGCATACAAGACAATTCATCTGTACACGTGTGTTTTAAAAATGAATGTGTGTGCAGTTCAGGGGGCTTAGCTGCATAAAATTTGTTCAGAAGAATCCATCTGCAATGTTCTGTGTTTAGCAGTCTGATGTTTTACCTCTGAATGACTTGTTGCATATGACAACCTCCAGACAAGATTTTCTTTCAGCCACGTGAGTGGACAGCAGCTTTCCTATTTCAGGGGCAGTGGTGATGAGCTCCTTGATAGATTGTAGTAAGTGCTAGATTTACCTGCTCTGAAAAGTAGCATGACTGATTACTTAAGGTAATACTGCCACACCTCAGTCTCTTGTCCTTCACTTGGCAATTCCAATATTGAGTTCTACTTGCCCCAGTCTCTGAAATACTATAATGGTGAAAGGCTGAGCTTGACTAGTTCTCATTTTACTTGTCTTCTGTTTCTATTTAGAAATCACGAGCTACTTTTTGGCAAAATAATTGTTTTATAGGGAATAAGACACTAGCACTGAGATGGTCACAAGATAAAGTTAATTCCAAAATGCCATTTTGCCTTTTTGTTTCCATCAGCAGTATGTTCAATGAAAGAGATGAATCAGAAAAAAATTATTGAACTGTAGACTGTGACAACAGAGGAGTCACAAACCATTTTATCTGCTGGGAAGTGGTAGTCAAGATGATTTGTATATAAATACTTTAAGAGTGTGGGAATGTTCCATTTACAGTTCTTCTATTACTAACACTAGAAGTACCGGAAAGAAACCCTTCTTATACCCCTCTCTTTATCTAAACCAGACACAGCTAAGTATGATCACACCCATAAATGTATGCTGGCTAATCTCATATGTGGTACATGGAAAATCTCTTTAGAGAGAGCTGGGAATGTACAAAGCATGCAATACAAGGCACACAATTAGTGTGGTATCATCCTGCACATGTTGCTTTACAGACATCTCTGTTGCCTTGTATTTCCTGGGGTGCCTGTGCAGCCTGTCTCTTTCTAATGATTGCTACTATACTGACAAATGACTCTTCTTCATAGTTTCTAGGATTGTAGTCTCATTAACCACAACCGCTGCAGGAGGGAATGGTGCATCTGTTTGGATTCTCATTAGATCATCTCTGAGGAGTCCACTCTCATAACAAGGCGTAAGTGCTTCAGAATCAGCAATAAAATCACTCAATTTATGAAAGCAGCTCGTGCCTAGGAACCTGCTTCTGCATATAACCAAGAATATAATTATTTCAGTTTACTTGTTATTCACAAAAAATAATTACCAGTTAAACACAGCATTTTCTTCCATGTCTTCTCAGAAATGAAGAAAATATCAAAATCTGAAATGTTTTATTTCTAAAAGATTTTTTTTTTTTTTTTTTTTTTTTTTTCTAGAGCAAATCTGCAACAATGACATGGAACTACTGTAAGATTTAAGTGCAAACAAACAGCCATTTTTCAGAAAATAAATTATTTTCAACTTTGTTAAGAGGAATTGCATAGACGTCTATTTAGAACAGCTTTAAGGTTTCAGCTACAACGGGCCTTAGGAACAGAAAACTGCAGGAACTTCATAGCAGTCTTAGTTGGAAAATGTTATGATTTGGTATGAAAATGGCACTGTTTGAGACAACACTGATTACTAGAAATATAACACAGTTTCAGCACTTGCTGAACTCTAGATAGTGCTGGAGAAGCTAGGAAAAGCTGAAACTTCTAAGCCCTTGACCTTGGCAGTAATTTTAACCTGTGCAGGAGATCACAGAAGATGAATAAAAGGGTTTTGAAGTGAACAAAAATGACTGGTCATGTTTTCAGTGTAATGGCAGCGTTCTTTTGACTCTGAGGACACGGGGTGTCCTGTTAGGTTTGGTGCTGAGGAGAATAATTGCTTCCAAGTTCAAAGGAAACTGGTGTTCAACTGAAAATGATGCAGCACAGAACCGTGTCTACGATAATATGAAAAAAAAATAAATCAGTAGTACAATTTGTTAAGCAGGTTCCCCTAGCAATAAGATTTACAATTGCTTCCCTATACAGAGTACAACATAATGCAGATTCCTGCTGACTTCTCAAGTGTTTGCCACTGGGCCTGCTGTGCATTTCACAAGCTAAGCTCACAGAATCAGGTCAAAAAACCTGTGTGCAGCCAACACTCAGCCTTCTGTCCATTTGCAATTTAACTGCTCTGCTTCTAAACAAAGAAAAAAGCCCAAACTCAACGCACCTGAAGGCCAAAGACCTTTGCAGGTTTTCTCAAGCTGCCATTCATCAGCTTATCCAGATGCACAGCTTCTATTTCCCGAACAATTGGAAAGTTGAGGAACAGCCAACCTGTTCTCCAGGTGGATTTTTTTCCTGCATCCATAGACCACTGGAAATAGTTATCACACACACACACTATTTGAATTCAGAGACCTCTCTCAAGGCAGGAAACCTGTGAAAACCAAGGCCCAAATTCACTATGGAGGTCGGGAGATTCCTTATGGGAAGGTCTGTGAGCAGAGAAACACAGAAACAGCCCTCCAACTCAGAGCTCCTTCTACACAGAAATCTTTGCAATATTCTCGAATGCCTCTGAAAAATTCTAAGCATGTAAGATGAAATCCTGGGTCTCAATGAGAGTTTTGTCTCTGATTTCAGTAGGGTCGGGGTTTCTTTCATTCATGGACTTGTTTTGATTCTTTCATAGCAAAGACAGTACTTTATTGAGAGAAGTCCAAATTCAATGGAGAATCCAAATGAGTTTAAATGAAGTCTGGGCTGATAAATATTACACTCCCTTCCAGCCTGCTCAACATGTATATTAAATCAACAAACTCTCGCTAAGGCCTTCTTGGGCACTTTCAGCCCCTTCACTCCTCAAAGTTCTTCAAATATGGCATTGCCTGCAGGCAATGAGCATTACACTGCCTTAAATATTATGCTATGTGTAAATACACAATCTGGTCTAAATGTCTTCTAAATTTTCTGGCCTGTAGGTACAAAATAATATAGGTGTAATGTGACAAATACACCTTTATGATCATCATGCTGTTTGAAATCATGCTGCTTTACTACAGCAGTTTTGGCATCATTCATAGCCTTCAAATCCTAAATAAATAAATAAATAAATAAATAATCCCACAAAGCAAACAACAAAAAAAAATTCCTAGAGCTTCATTAAATATTTCTTACAAACTTACACCAATTTTATTTTCTGCTCAAAGTACAAAGTGGCTTTGAGAAAGGCCGACTGTGTGCAGAGAAGATCGTATGACATTTCTTCATTAAATCATTGTAAACCTATCACATCTGATTAACTCTTGATAGGGCACCAGTTCTCATCTCAGATGCGTTCACAAGGATCTATTATTCTGTCTATTAGACAGAAATGCCACACTCAATGGTAAAATGAGGCAGTTCTTTAAGCTTCAAAAATTGACATCTACAATATCCAAGGCAAACCCCTCTGAGTAAGAGGGCAGAGTTGCATCAGGTGCAGTCAGTACCAGACCAATCTTTATTTTCTGCTACACAGATGTAAAAAAGGGGTACTTGGACATGTGGTTTATAAGGGTTGCAAATAAAGAACCACGTGGGAAACCCAGATTAATCCCATCAGTGGATAGCCAAATAGCTGTTTGTGAACACAAAGCAGTGCATGTTCATGTGCAACTGGGCTTCCCTCAACACTAGATAAATTTTAAAAAAATAAAAAGATCTTCAACAAAATTTTCTAATCATGAGCACTTCATTGAACACTTGAGATGCTGGAAAAATTACGAAAGTCTTCAGGCCTTCTGACTTCTTATAACTTTTAGCATTTTTTAGCAACGGGAATACAAACACCTTTCAAGAGTTACTTATCTTCAGCTTATACAAGTGAGACAAATGGCAATTGTTATCTAACTTCAGTGGGCCTCATTGTATCTTTGATACATATGTGAACATCCTGTTACCACCAATCTCTACTCCACAAGTATGGAGATAGTGAACAAATCGCTACCAAATCCCCATCTGACAGTGCTAATAAATTAACAGCCGTAACTCTTTCACTGTGAGATTGCAGCCATTTGATGGTCCTTCTCCAAAGCTTCTGCAGCACTCCTTATATCACCCATTCTGGAGGGAGTGTGTACCTACCAGTTCCCTTTAAATCCCATGCAAGTACCTAACATACACATTAACCTATGAACCAAACCAAAATGCCCCAGGTTACTTTCATAAAGTGCTTCTTTTTCTCAACCAACAATAAGAGATTACTCTCCCAATTGAGACATGTGAATTACAAGACGTGACTACCTGCTGCTTGCCCCACAGGCAACACAACATCCTCATCTGTTGTGCATTGTCATAGTGATGTGAACCTCAGCTTTTGGGAGTTCTGCTTAGTTATCACACACGAACTCTGTACAGGTCTAAGACCTGAATGTAAAACTTTGAAACACAAAGAATTCTTACAGTGTTCGTGCCCATGGCATCACTCACCATGTCTATCTCCTAAGAGCCATACCCACTCCTTTGTCCACAGCACTTGTAATTCCAATTGGCCTTTTAAACCAACCAACAAGAGATACAAGCCTAATCTCCATGTATTTGAAATATGAAAATAATAGGCATGGATTTTCAATATGAATTTTCAATGATTTATCTGTTCAAGAATAGATCTTTTTCAGTTCTCAACAGAAAAAGAATGAAAATGCCATCTGAAAGAATGTGGACATTAATTTGGATCATCAGCAAAGAAATGTTGAAATTGCAAGGGTTATGGATTAACTGCATGCTGAAATGAGCTGTGTATCTATTTTTAAGGGTCCCAATTTTTGAAGTTCAAAGCGAGGTTTATTTTTCTGCAGTGAAGTAAAAGGGAAGTTGAAAGTGTATATTAATGAAAATCATCTAAGAAAACGCAAACCTAAAATTAGTAATGGTGATCTGATTGTTTGAAGAGAGACAACATTGAGATCTATTAGCATTTCCTGAAGTGCATGGAATAACCTCCTTGCAACTATCTTTGATTAACTTCAATTTCTGATTATCTGCATTAATCAAAGGTGCCAGAATAGAATCCATGCTCAACATACTCAATTGCCTCTTTTTGAGCTTTTCCAAGTGATATAAGCTACGACTGTCTTCCCCAACAGGAGGAACAGCACAGCCAGAGCACTCCAATAGAAGTAAAACCATATTCACAGAAAGCAAGAAGTAAAACTAAAAACTTATTGAGCTGGATGAGCTTTTTGAAGGGACAAAAAGAAAGAACAACTCCCATCCTGCAAGTCAAATATCATAAAAGAACAGATTAAAAAGCAAGAAGCGACCAGATCCTCAGATAGTGTAAATCCCTGCAGATCTACTGCCTTCAGCAGAGTTTGCTGATTCTCACTAGTTGAGGAGAGGCCTAAAGATTTTAATTTTATTTGTTGGGCACTTGTTACTGCCAACAAAACTGAGAATGATTAATTTCCTCATTGCTACTGATCTTTATGTAACACGATTTTTCTTCATATTTTTTGATCACCTTGATTTCATACAGGTAGTATCTGTAGTGCATTTTCAAACGCACATTTTAAGAGTGTGGAAATGATAGTTAATTTGATATGCTTTCTGCTTTAGACATTGCATATACCAATTAAAAAGAGGCTAAATTAGGATCTAAACTGACGGTGATAATGCTTCCCTCTGCATTTCTAATTGGGAATTTGCTTGAAGTCTCTTCAGCTAGGGCCCTTAGAAATGACATACATCCTTCATGAAAGGACATTATGTCTATTCTAACAATTCTAAGTGTAACGGCACATTTCGAGGCATGCTCAGCTCTACAGCCAACGATAACCTTACGGAGATGCACCTTACTAGCTCTGACAGAATGCTAATAAATCTCCAGCCTGGAGGGTACTCCCTGGAGAGGCCTGGCTCCTTACCTTTGACATGGGGGATGAAGTGGTGTCGGAAGGGGGAGTTGGGGCGGGAGTCATGGTGAGCGGAGCTGAGACTGCTAGTGCGCAGGTATGACAACCGCTGCACACCAGTAGAGAGCAGCTCTGCAGCAGCAGGGAATCGGGGGGCAGAACAAAATGAAAACAAAGAAAAACAATAAGAGAAAGGCAGGGAAGGAGGCTTCAAAGGAAGAAAAAAAAAGGCATTACACAATTAGGGTTCTGAAAAGGAGGAAGGAGGAAAAAAAAAAAAGGTTAAAAGACGTACCGAAGGGTTCATAAATCTTAGACAAAATTACAGCAAGTGGTTGAAAAGATGCTCAGATTTGAACTGCATTGCTGATTCAGCATACTATTTACTAGCTTAATGAGCTTATGATATATGCCTTGTTACCAGAAAGTAGTCTGCTACCATCATGCAAACATCACAAACATTGATGCTCAGTTAGCTAAGAAAGCAGCTGTCTTGCAAAGTGCCTAACCAAAAAAACCATCAGTCAAGAGGCATACAAGCTGCCTTCTATTGTTTTAAAACATTCCAAAAATGCTGCCAACGTCAGATATGACATCAGGGTACGAAAAGGCTGCAAACTTTTTCAAAACATGAAGCATTCCAATTTTGAAGAATGTGATGCTGACAACGTCAACACAGTGCTTCACTTCTCTCTCAAGAGCATCTGGAAGCCAGGAGTTCTCTGAGGCCACTGAGCTTATTCCGAGAGAAATTACTCTTGCAAATAACCAAAGGTACCATTAGGAGAAACATATACACACATTATTATTCAACACGAATGACACTGTAGGAAAACTATAAATTAATATTAGTAATTACCCCAAAGCGGGGTTGCAAAGATCAAAACAACCAATTCTACAGATGTTGTCTGTATCATAGGAGAAACAGAAGCAGGTGACCCACAGATGAGATCACCTGAGCAGAGATCAGCTTGAACAAAAATATCCTCAGAACATCTCCCAGACTGAAATTTTGGAGATTTTACATTTGGACCCTTCTGATTGAACAGATAGTGAAATTCAATCACAGTAAAGTCTGGAATGAGGTCTGGATTCTTAACTGTCTCTGATACAACAGAGATGGAAAAATCCCCTTGGAAGTGCCAGAATCAAGAGACAGAAGTTTGCAGCTTTTTCACGCTTTATAAACGTCTTTCAGTTTTAGCTGTAATGTCATTTTAAAACACAATCATGTTGTCAGCACATAGTATCAGACACAATTTGCTTCTGTCCCACCTCCCTTGAGTGCTTTAAATAAGGCATTCACTGACAGACACAATTAGCTGCTTTCAGCCCACCCCCACTAGGAAATGGCTGCTGCTCTCATGTTCCACAGTGGTGGCTCTATAATAAATCTTTAATTTTAAAAATGCAGCTCCTATTATGTATGGGCTTTTGGCAGGCCAAGTGTTCATCTGCAATCATCAAGGAAGATGGAATTGCATGACTGCATCACTTAACTTAAAAACAGGTCACAAAGATTTAATTTGTGAGCATTAAAAGTAAATTAGTCTTGAAAAGTACTCAGTTAATTGCATTTAGAGATACACTTTTATGCAGTTTGGGTGTGGATGAACACTTCAGTTTCATGTATTGCTTCCACATCCACAATCAGAAATCCGAATGCACTTGGAAACAGACCTGAATGTTTATTATATTATACACAGAACTTGCACATCACTGCTAAATCACTAAAAATGTTAGCATTTTCAAATGTGCTTTGCTATTGACTATGATTTTAAATAAGAATCTACGAGTCTATGTTTAGGAAAATGATGTTATTTGGAATATCTGGGTTATTTGCTGTTCCATCTGACATTTCATGGGTGCACCAAGCTTCAACTGAATAATTTTTTTTCAAAGGAAGAATCCTACACAAGAGGCTGCTGTCCAGTCAAGTCGTAACTTTTGTTTCCAAAATATGGTTGCTTTTCCCAAATTCCAGAATGAAGTTTGTGATTTGTTACTGTAAATAGTTGCTTGCTTTCACAAACTTACATACATTTGAAAAATAACCAGAAACAAAAGCAGAAGATCAGTACTTATGACATAAGACACTCATCAACCTAGGGCAGAACACACTGCACCAATCAAGAACAAAAAAACAGGTAGAAAAGGAGATATTAAAATATGCAACAACTTTTCAATCAGCTGCTAAGAGAAACAAGTGCTTCTCTGTGCCACTAAGCGACACAATAAACACTGCTTTTACAAATACTGCTAATGCAGTTGCCCTTACCGGGTCTGTGGAAATGCTGGGGGGAGCGTGACATGGTGGGCGTGTAGCTATGGCGACTGTACACTGGAGAATTAATAGAGCCCTGACTAGTAGACCTGTGAATCATGCGATCCCGAACATCTTGATAACCCTGCAGAACAGAAGCAATTAAAACGGAATTCATTACAGAATATAAATGCACATCATACGTTTTTCTAAGCAGTGCTCAACTTTCATGGATCCGAAAACATCTACAGAAGATACTGAAAAAATATGTTTCTTAAACTTTCAACCCATTTCATTATTACTGTTATCTAACTATCTGCTCCAAAGACTCTGATCCATTTTTACAGCCAGTGTCTGTGATCAGTCTTGAAAGGTTCCAACTCTACGTGTCACTCAGGGTAATTTCCAGCACACTTTCTGTGATCCCAGGTTCCCCATGTTCCTATGGCTCCATAAGGGAAGTTGCATTCAGAGCATCCTTGTCCTGCAGCACATGGCACAAGATACATCAGCTAGTCATCAACTAGATCAGCTGGAAACCAGCAAGAATTGAACAGCTGCAGCACAGAGCTATCCATGGCTTCACTTACCATTTGTCTCAACTAGCTACAACAAGGGGTTGAAGTATCCAAATTAGATCTGCCCCATGCCCTCCCCTCTGAAAACAAGACCCCTTCTTGTACAGTGAAGCCTAACTTTCTCAGTTTCCTGGAAGACAAACCCAAGCCAAACAAAATGAGAAAGCACACACAAAGCAAACCAAAGCAGGACAAAAGAGATGGGAGCAATTTGAATGCATGAATAATTACAACAAATTTTAAAGCCTTTTTTTTTTTTTTTTTTTTTTAACATGTAGCAATCACTGTGACTTTTATATTGCAAACAAGCAATACTTCCCCATCCCAAAATGATAACACATGTAATGGTATGTATACATCTACAGTATTCTGACACATGACTGTCCTGATATATAATATTCCTGTAATGCTTAAAATAGTTCCAAGGTCAAAACAAAACCAAAGCAAACCAAACCATAGCTATGTTTTCTTCAAGGTAAAACTACAACTGTCTTAGCAGCAAACATAGTTTGCAAAAATTATTTAAATTCTTAGAGCAGTGTTTTAGGTAATGCAAGTCATCCATCTGAGACCCTGTGGGTGTCACCAGAAGGATGTGTGTTTAAGAAGTGACCTCTGCTGGACAAATGGCCCTGTGTTCCAGACAACAATTAGGGAGGGGCACCAGATTCATTTTTGTATAATTTGTCAGTGAGGACTTAATGTTCTCCTTTTAAGTGATCAAAAACCATTTCTATGTGCTCCCTGTTGCGCCGCGCCGGCCCCAAACAAAGGACGAACAAACAAAAAAAACAACAGATCAGATCAGGCCAGGAGCAAAATCAATCAAAAGCAATCACTGATATGAGTAATCCTAGTCATGGTAAGATGAGGTTTCACCACACTTACTTCTGCTGAAGGGGTAGGTGATAATGTCCGTGGAGACTGCAAAGACATAAGAAAGTAAGGTTACAGAATCATCACTGCATGTCTTGGGCTAGAAAATGGCAACCCAAACACTGCTGCAGGTAGAAGGATATTATACAGCAGTACAAAACAGCACTGTAGGCATTACTGAGGCCACCGTTATGCTGCAACTTGCTTTTTCCACATTGCTCAGGAACTGGTCCATAAATCACTGAAGCGCTTAAAGTTTCTGGGAGAATCTATAAGCGTGATTAATTCAGTCAGCTATCGTGCCATGACATCTCTCAGCCATCTAGTGATTGCGGTAATTAAAACATAGCTGTAGAGATCAAAATCAGAAAGGATTGTTAATTTAATAAGCATGCCTGTTACGAAGAACTCTTTAAAGTGGAAATCAAAAGTAAATAATTTTAACTCAAAGCTTTGCATGGCATCAGAAATACAGAACAACTTCCAAGACGAAGCACATTTTTCCTTCAGTACACAGAGTCTGGCAAAAATCTGCTTTTTCCTCAAGGCTTTATTTTTCATCCCCAGTGCAAAGCAATACAAAGACGCCATCATTTCTTTGATATGATCTCTCTCTAAATTAGCTTTGTGCTCACCCATAGTTACGCACAGAGAACCAGCAGGAATTACAAGCATGTATACTGAAGGAATTATGCAAAAGCCAGAGGTCATAAACATGCACAGTACTTACTAACAGCTTCTATTACAGATAGGGAAACCAAGGCAAGACATATCTTTAGAAACCAACTTAACCATGCATTGCTTGGTGGTACAAACAACTACAAAGGCTATGTGCAGTTACCAGCTATGTGTCATCTATCATAAGACAATCAGAAGCTGGAAGATCAGGATTGAAAATGTTTATTTTTATGCATTACATTTCAATATTATTTAATTGCCATAATAAGCCGGGCAAGAGATTATGCTCTCAGATAAGACCACAACTATTACAGAACAAGATTTTTAGCTAAAATACCCAGCTCCCACTAGATGGTGCTATGTGAAAACGTTTCTCATCACGGGCTTCCAGAAAAACAAGACTGGTAGTTAATTGAACATGAGAGACTATCGGTGAGAAACTTTCTAATGCATTTCCCTTTCATTGCAATGAAGAAGAAAATGTTTTGTCACTTTCTGTATCTGAAGTACAGAGTTTTCTTGTAGCTCAGTCCCTGCATTTAAGGTTTGTCTGCACCACTGAGTTAATCTTTCTTACCTGGCTTTGGTGTTGGTTGCTTTTTTTTTCCAATCGTGGTGAAAGGCATTTCTAGGGTATGATTTTAAGCTCAGGCTCACAGTTTCTTTAAGCCCATCACATATACACACTTTCCAAACAGACTGCAGGCTAGCTCACTCAAAGTCTGTAAATCCTAGCCATGCCTAACCACGTCACCTCCTTTGCTTTTTAAAGATGATGGTGACTGATGTATGACATACCAAGATTAAAGCATCACTCATTTATGACAACACAGACACAGGGATCACTCCACCCTGATGGACTTCTGCTTTCATTAAGGAAAGGAAAGGGAGGACAAAGAGGTACAAAGAGGTGAGGTGAATTGCCCAAGGTCACAGCAGTCACTGGTAGCATGAGGCAGAGAGCCCAGCTCTCCTGAAAGGAAGATGAGAACCCTTTCGTTTCTGGAAATTACTGTAGTCACCAGAAATTGATAAGATTTAATGCTGGTGATAACACAGCGTAAGAAAACACCAAAGGCTTTTGCTCTTCCCCAGAATAAGCATAATGGCAATTTCCAATATATGGCTTTATCAGCGAGCAGCATCCCCTCAAGGATTAACAAATAGTTCCTCTGGGTGAGATCAGTTCCTCCTCCGTGAGTAACAAGAGACTGGTTTGTAGCTGGTTCTGTGGAATGGCTGAGACCTGTTGGAACCGGGCAGAGATCACCAGTGCATCTCAGTGGATGTGAATCAGACGTCAGCTGGACCTATTGCCAATCTGAACTGGAGGGAGAAATTCTGTAATTTGATCTCTTAATCTCTTATTTCGCTCGTGAGCTGAACTCTCTCTTGAATTTCCTCATATTTATTTATAACTCTAAGTTAAAATATTAGCCCTATGAAGTATTAAAGAACAAAGTACAAAACCTGCTGTAAATCTGACCTGCTGGTGGGTAGTATATGTTGCTGAGAGAATACTGTCAGTCACTTCAGACCACTGTCTGAATGATCTATTGTAGTTCCTTTTTCCTCAGCTTATCTTCATGCTCAATTCACCAAGACTGTAAAATGAATCCACTTTTATGCCCACTTAGATTTGCATTCTGGAAGTCAGATTTACAGCTACCTGGTACCACTTGATAAAACCTACTTCATGACCTGCACTGGAACCACCTAAACAGTAACTGCAGCTATGGAAGTTCACCTGAGAAATAGGGAACCCTACAGCCTGAAAGCTGCCTTTAAATACAAGTTTAAGCAAATAAATTAGATGGCTGCTTCTCTTGTTGAATTCTTTACTAAATGTCAGCAGTTTAAAAAGTGAGGCACCTATTTCCACACTGCAACTCACCTGCTGTTTCCAGTTGGAAGAGCACTTAATCTCAACTTACTTCACATTCTATCTTATATGTATAGCAGTGTGCTCCAGAAATATATTTCCATTCAATCTGAGAGAATGTGTCTTGCTGTTTTGAACCCTTTTACTGCCACAGAACATCATGGTAATTCCTCATATTCTGTTGTGAGAACTTGTGCTCTACAGCAATGTGCCTGCTACATGGCACACTGCTAGGCTGCCATTTGCCTCGTGTTCTGGACCCAAAGACCAGAACACTCTTTCAAATTATGAAGACACACAGCCTGCAACCTGTTCCCCATTCCTCTGCCAGCAGCTGGTGTTAATGCAGACAAAAAGCAGACCTGTGTGTTTAACTATGCAGTTTCCCCACATAAGGCATCATCATGACTGTTCCCATTTAATCCAGATCAAACAGACAAAAAGTACTTTGAACAGCAGCAGCAACAATACTAAAGAGTGTTAATTAGGAATTATTTCAGAAGAGGATAGAAGCGTAGCAGGCTTTGAGTAAAGCTTATAGCAGAATGGGTTGCTTGTCAGTTCATTACCTCTCCAAGACTCTGTCTCTCCTGTCTGTCCTCGTAGGCGGAAGTGTAGAATGGCTCATAAGTAATTAGGTCTGGACGTTCAATGTCATAAATGGCCTTGACTTTGGGAATGGCTGCTAAATCCTTGTAATCAAGGATCTCATTGTCTACTTTTGCCTGAAGGTCAAAGACAGAACACAAATTAACTTACACAAATGCACTGGCAATTTCTATTTTACACAATTTATGATTCTGTGTATTTGTTATCACATTGTTGCTATGGAAAACCCTTTTTGGCACTCCAAACATAAAATGACTGCTTCTTGTTCTTCTCCAAGTGGGCCTCCTCTCCAAGAGCACACAGTGTTTTCTGAGTTTAGGAAAGAAAGAACACTGCATATACAGATGCAACACAAAAGTTCCCTATCAACTGCACTGAGCTGGAAACTTCAGCTCTATAAATGACTCATTTTGTGTCCTAAGGCAAGTCATTTCACCTCTGTTCTTATTTTTCCATCTGTAATATGTGTGATATTATCAACTAAGTCTGCTGATTACAGAGATTATGAGAGGATTCCATGCAGGAGATACAGACAGAATGTCAACCTATAACTTTGCACACAAGAGGAAATACAACTTGTTACAAGGAAATAACAAGGCAAGCAGGACTGGTCAGGGCTATGCATCAAACTCCCTCCCAACTGAAATTAGCATATTGCATTCATGACTCAATCTGTATGCAAGATTCTAACTAAAGTGTATGTTAATTAATACTAGGATAATATATAATACTAACATAGACTCTTCTTTCATTAGAGCTGCAAAGAACTCTCAATTAGTTTAGAACTGAAAGTAGGAAATCAGTTCCAAAAAGACAGCTGCACCCTTCAGAAGAAGCAGGAAAGAGGTCTTACCTACCGTTTATGTAGCTAATATCTTTCCTTACTTAAAAAAAGACTTGCTGAAAAAAATCATTGTAAATCCTTACCTACACAATAGAAATTCATTTTATTTTTAAAGCCAAAAGGAGATATTCAAACTGCTTTTCACCTTCACTTTTCTACTAGCTGCTTTAGTTACACATAGCAAGCTGTACAAGGCAATAAGGCTGATCTGTTTCTACTCACCTTCCACTCTGTTCTGAGTATCAGCACCTAGCATCTTTAAGTGCATTTACCTTCCCAAGCTCTCCTAACAACCACTCATGGTGATTCTTATGTGATGCCACAAATCAGACAAGCAAGGACTGAGATTGTTAGCAAATCCACTTTCTAAAAATAGCACAAAATCTGTTTAGTTTTGACTCACCAGATATAACAGAGTATCTTTAGCCAATTTAACCCTTAATATAGGCAGCTTTATGAATTTATAATTTTTTTTTTATGACAATCCATTAATGAGCTGTTAATGTATGAATATTTTATTCCAGTGTAAATTACCACACATTTTCACAGATCTGAATGTAGGCCAACATGCTGGTTGCCACACAGACTCCACTGTTCAGCAACAGGTGAGGTTTCCTAAGCTAAAGTTTATGCAGGTGATATTACCAGCACGGTATGCTCTGTGGTTTGACATCTGTAAGTGTGAACATTTTTATCACAGTAGCTGTTTTTTGGCTGCTGTTCAAATGCACTGATGAACTAACATTCAACCCAAGCTCAGAACTTGAGATTTATAATATTTGGTATAGTTGGTATTTTTTCTGCATTATTATATGTGTACCTGGTAAATCTGTATGCCTTATGTTTTCACCTGTACAATCTTAATATTATCTACAAATTCAGCAATTCAATATGAAATACAAGTAACACGGAAGAACATTTGCCCTGCAGTCTTCCTTTTCCAAACAAATCTTTGTCTTTGATCCCTCCAGAATGGACTCTAACTTGCTTTCTTGACATTTTCTTCCTTAGCTTCTACTTCTCCCTTGGATCTTGTGCAGGTTGTCTGGAGCATGTTTTACATGCTGAGAAAGATTACGCAGACTTTCAAGAAACAGGGCTTTTAAATGGATGTGAGTTCTTAGAAGTGTAGGTTATACGTGTGCAAATATAGCAACATTGGCAAGGCTGAGCAGTAGTTATTCACTCAATTACACTTGATTCCATACTCTTTAGAACAGAATTAATAGATGACTTTTTTTTTTTTTTACCCTACAGAATTCTCTACCAAGAAAAATGGGCACTGACAACACTGAAATGCTTGAAAAAGTAGTGTGAGCAGAAAATAATTATTGCTTCAGAATTTTGAAGCAAACATTCTGCTGATGCATTTCTAACTGTCATCTCTTAAATTACATAGGTTCAAAAGGTAGCAAGAAAAGAAAAAGATCTTTTCCAAACTTAATAATTCTAAGATTCTATGAAAGAGGTAATTTGATTACTGAAGGAACCTATATCTCAATTAACTACACATAAAACAGTTTATCAATAGCTTTGCACTGTCAGCACTGTTAGTCTAATAACAGTAGGATGCTTAATATCCTTTTTTGTTTTAAATCCTTCCCTTCCCCCCTTCTTTTCCTTTCATAGCCAAATCTAACTTCTAAAAATGTGGGATCAGCCAGGCTTCCTTCAGTGTGCCTGACCCTGCACCCATGTTCTATAGCTGCTGATAGCAGACCTCTCAAGCACTGCATACTGAAGTGCAAAGATAACACGTCTAACAAAAAGTCAACCGATCTGTCTTCTGTCCCTCTTCACATCATCCAGTGATTTCAGAAGATCTGCTAAATGTTTGCCTGGCCTGAGGAAGCTCTGCCCTGCTCTTGAAATTCTGTAGTAATAAGAATTACGTGGCAATGAGAATTTTAACAATTTAACCACTAGGATGAAGGCAATAGCATCAGTATAAAATGATTTATTTCAGCATGGAGTATTTCATGTCCAAGCAAGGGCTCAGCAGCTTATTCATCAGAAGAAATACTTACATAGATAGTGTGGCCTGGTGAGCCAGGTATACTGGAACCTGGCCTGGAATAAATGCTTTCTGATGATGTTCTGGTAGGCTGAAAAACAAACAGCAACTTTTCAGAGCCATTTAAAGCAATTAACGTTTGGTAACTCTGGATACAAGTGGAGAAATCCACACATTGAAATTGACTGTATTTAGAAAAAAAAACATCAACACAAGATCAAGCATTCTGGCAAATTCCACAGTCTCACAAGGCAAGTGGACTCTCTTTTTCTGCAGGAGGAGGAGTGCTGTGAGAGGTGAAGGAGGTTTTCTAAATCATAGTGTGAAAGACTGACAGCAATAATGAACAAGTCTAAATGACACCTGCCAAACTCACTGCAAGGAGCCACACACCATACAGTTCAGGACGGTCATTTTATCAAAATGTTAATTCACAAACAGCAAGAGATCAGCAGCCAGTGGTTCAGCAGCCAAAATTACTGAGAAGAGCACAGCACACACGTTATTGCATTCCAGATGTTCAGTCACTGGATTTCCATGATGAATACAGAATTGAAATCAGCCTTTTTCAATAGAAGGACCTGAAATCCTTGGAGCAGTTCCCTTACATCTGCAGTACGACTCAGACGCAACCTAAGAGCTAAAATGTTGCTTGAAATGTCTTGACTCCCTGCATTGTAAACTCCTGAAGTTTAACGACAACGTCCTGGAAACTGAAATTCAGAACAGTCACACCCCTACAGAGTGAGAGTTGTATATTTAGTGGATTTTTCAGCATTTCTTCAGTATTAAACAGACACTGACTCCCTTGGGGAAATTTTACAAGAGCATCTTAGCACCGAGATATGGGAATCCTGAAAAATTTATGAATTTGAAAACCATTTAATTAAAATGGGGCAAGAACTCACACGTTCAGCATGCAGCAGGCACACAAAGTTAACCAAACACGTCCCACTTCCACTTGTGGAGCAATAAACAATTCTTGCAAAGAATCAACTCCTCTCATAAAGCAATGCATCAGTATATGATTCTGATGACACTACTGCAGTGGGATACGATGAAGATACTGAAAATTAAATCTTGCCAACTGTGACACTGAACTAAGGGACCTTTTGGTCACTGATTGAAGAGAAGGAAGGCTTAGCAGCTTGGCTTAGTGATTTTTCTTAGTAAATGCTGGGACTGAACACAACGAGGTTACTGGAGCTTTCTCATCCCTCAGCATGCACTTCCTGATCAAATTCTCCAGTGCTGAGTCTTTCTACTTTTAATTACATCCCCAGGAAAACCACTGGACTCATCCTCATAAAAATGCTGAAGACTACATAAAATTGGATTTCTCTGACTTCATTTGTGGAAATGAAATCATCATAAGCAGGGATAGTCAAAGGAATAAAGGGCTTTGAACACATTCCATCAAAAAACGTGAAGATCCAGATCAAACCGGCAACAGATGTGGCCATGGAATGACATAGCCACCAATCCCCTCCGGAGCATGTCTGAGAATGCCTTCTCAGCTGGAGCTCTGTATGTTTCTTTCCTTTTTCCTCTGTAGTTGCAAATTCCTAAATCCCAAAAGGGAGCGCAGAAATTTCTCAGCTGCCCTTTGGCTCCTCCCATGATGCAATCAAAGAAAACCCAAACCAACAACAAACAATCCACTTGTTTCATGGAAATGTTACAAGACTGAAGTTGGCTGCTGTTGAGAAACACTTCATTCCCTTTTGCTCTGCCTTCTCACACTGCTGAGCAGAGACACGTGTAACATGTTGCTGCAGTTGCTATGGAAAGCAATTGTTTTCATTGCAACACAGGGAACACAGCTACAGACATGAGGTTCTGTGAGGGGTGTCTGTCACCTTTCACTTTTGGCAGACGTACTTCAGGAGTTTTGTCTGATTAATTTTCCCTCTTGTAGGAAAACAAACACAGGAGCCAGCTCCAGCTTCTCAACTGGCAAACCCTCTGGGATGCACTTCTCTCCGGTTCTTTGTAATCACTTCAAAAAATAAGAATTTTTCAGTTCTTGCTCCAGCCCTGAGCCTCACTTCTTAATGCAACTGCTAAAAGCTTCTTCAGCAAAGAAAAACTCCCCTGTGCTTGTCACATCAATGACTGCACTGAACAGAGTCAGACACCGTATGAAGCCACACCTTGCTACTGTATTTCTTAGATGTTCTTTCCCAAAATAAGAGAGTGGTTGTCAGGTGGACTGGCAAGTCATAGCACCTGCCCTTCAGCTCCTCTGCGCCACGCCATCATCATGGCCATGAGCCAGACATGACACTCCTCAAAACCAGTTTTCCCTAACTTCCTGTGTGCATTAATTTAACCTCCCATCTACTTATTGCAGGGCAGGATCCCACCCTCCCAGACACCACCTGACCACACGAATCCAAGCAGGGTTTGCTCCCTCTACTGCCTCCTAGAACAAAATCTTACTTGATTTTACAATATAATCCCAAAAGCAGCACGTGAAAGAGGACTTCTACACCTGCCTCACTTGTTTATTTGAATAAGGCAGTCTGTTTCCACTGCAGATAGCTATTTCCTACTCTGCTGCTTCCCACATGGTCTGGGAGCCTTCACAGATCCGCACCTTCCCCTAAAGAAAATTGAGGAGGAGAGCTGATCAGAGCACATGTTAAAACTGGAACTGTGGCAAACCTTGATTCAACCTTTAGCCTCATTGGAGATACCACACGAGCATCTCACGCACATATTACTGAAAGATAACAGGTAAGGAAATGAGAGGAAACCTCCTTTAATAGGAATGCATTCCTTCAGATGTTTCAGTCCCACCCAACAGGCCTGGGACACCAGATCTGCACATCCTACAACTTAAGTCATCTCATTTCTGCAAGCACACCTGGTGCCTTCTTTACATGACTGCTTTTTTGCTAGGGATTCAAATACAGCTTTGTGTAATGACACCTTTGATCACAGGAATTTGAAGAAAACTTTTATTAAGTGCTATAACTATTTTTTTTTCTTGTACTTTGTAGCCTTTCTTCACATTTTTTGACCATGTAAGTCATTTATTTTTAATTTCCTCCTCAACCCAAAAGCACATAACACCAGTGTGTATAAGTTAACATGGGATGTCTGTAGCACATATAGGAAGTATATGAATGTACATGAAAAAAAGCAATAGGAATTCAATCAATTAAAATTCAAATGTATCAACCAAGACCCCACTGCACAAAGGATCTAAAACATCTGTGAGACTTCTCCGTATTCTTTGTTTTATCACAGACCTCTTATTCCAGTGGTTTTGTTCTTCATTTCATGCATTTGTCTTCAATGCAAAAGTTCTTTACCAACTTCATTTCCAGACTGTCAAAGACAACCCCAACTCTCATGCTCCCAATGCTCATCCTATTAGGCTCACTGTGAATTTCAGCACTCAGTTACAGTATCACCCATGCACACGCTCCAAATCCATTAACTCATTACTTCAACATTAGATTGCAAAGCTTGACACGTTCATCTGCGTTTATCTCAGTCTGTCATGTTATCATGCATGGCGCATCATCTAAACAAGTGAGTTTTTAAAATAAAAGCATCTAGGCTGGAGCCATTCACATCATCCAGTTACGCTGCAATGTGGTGGCTGTGGCTTTTGAAAGTACAGATGTTCAGAATCATGCACTATTAAAACTTCCAAGTGCAGGCAAACAGATCAAATCTGATCCCGAGAACATCTGGCCAAACAGATGCACTGTTGTTTAACAAAGGCATCGTCAGCGTTGTCTACAGTACCTGCCTTAGTTTTTTGATAGAGTTCATTATGCAAGGCGGTGATAATAGCTGCAGAAGAACGAATACGATTTCACTTAACAACATTGAACATTACAGTTTAAACAAGTTCTCCAAATCCCACAAGTTACTGTAAGGTATATCTGTAAACAAAAGAAGTTCAGTGTGTAACTTACTCGACTTGGCAGGCACAACTTTGCAACAGCAAGGAATCTGACAGTCCCAGTACAACACTAATGTGAGTATCTGCTTCATCAACTACATGGTTTTACAGGAGTAACTCAGCTTGTGGAACCAGAGCTCATTATAGGCTGGTTTCCCATGGATTTCAGTAATGTTCAGTGGCAGCGTACAAGACCAAGAAAATACTTCAGTGCTACAGCACTCATTGTGCCTGTCTGCCAGTGTAACTCCTGACAAGTGTGTTACCTTCAAATGCACAGAGCCTGTCATTATTTCCCTCCCTTAAAAATTTACAACGTGTGTGCATAAAGACAAAAGTAAGGAACAGGTTTAGTTCAAACTCACACAGATGCATTTTAATCAATTACAGAAAACTTTTTCTTTCCTTTCTAGACAAAAAAGCTGAAAAGGAAAAGGTATTTTCAGCACAGTCACTGAAGTTACACTGCTACCAAATACAGTCTTTCATAGAAAGTAAATTAAGTGAAAGGCAGAAAAAATGAAGTGAGAAATACATAACAGTGAATTCGGGGCCAAACTCCTCACAGAATTCACAAGATTTCACTCCTTCTTGGTTTTCTTCCTCAAAAAATCTTAAATAATAAGATACTTTGATATCAAATAGTAAGATTTTTTGAGATAGGTAGCAAGTATGACTTTAAAAACACTGAAGTCATTTTTCATCTTAAGACATTTTTCCCCATAGTTAAGTTATTGAAATTTCCTGTGTTTCTGCTTACATTCAGCAAACAATTAACACCTGTAAATATGGGCCTCAGTCCATAAATAGCTGTTCATGGCAAAAAGCAGCAATTATTGCACATGAAGTGTGTATTTCATTTATATTCCACAAGGCTCTTTTGTTTTCTTTCTGGCATTGCCTTTGGCATCAAACTCCTAGTTAAATGCCTGCCTTCCCCTCATTTCAGCAGCACCTCCAGTACTCAAGTTTGGCAGCTCAGAACTTTTCTTGGGCTGGCAGTCCTAAATGCCTGATGTGTAATCACTGCATCAAATTGACACTAAAAGTGCGTAAAGTTCCATTTGAATAAGACACTGAGGATTGTCTTCTCCAGGTTACACACACCATCCAAAGAGCTATCAGCAAGGTTATCATATGATGAAGATCTGCAGTAGACAGACACCTCTCCTGTCTTGCCAGAAGAGTAACGTGCCACCATGTTAGCAATAAGACACAGTACCAAATGGAACTCACTAGGCAGCCAGCTCACCTGAGGCTCAACATTTCTTCCTGTCTTCAGTGTTAAAGGTGGTCATAGATCTAAGAGATTATCATGTATTCTTGCTTCTGGATAAGGTTTTGTAATTTATTTCCCACTAACTGTTTGGTACCTACAGAATTCCTGAAGCATGCACCTTCCTAATGATCCAACTATCTCAGACACGCTCTCCCTTACTGCATGCAAAAGGGTTTTGCATCAAGCAAAACAGGTAAAATTAAAATCTGAAGTTTTCATGTAGATTAATGTCCTTGGCCCATCTTAACAGCAACAGCAATGATAGCATCTTTACCCTGCAGAAGATCACATGAAGTCAAAACCTGCTTTGAATTACACTTCATATAATCAGCCTGTACATCTAAACAGAATTAAATATTGAGTACATTTATACAAGAAGATATAATCTGACCCTAAGCTGCTTCAATGCTACAGTCTACAGCATGAGAAAGTCTACCTTAATTAGAAATTAATACATAAGCACTGCTGCAAAGGAGAAGAAATGGAATTAGGTGGTGTTCTCAAGTGCAGAGACCCTCGTGGAAGTTTGAAAGTGGAAAGGTGATTCAGAATCAAGAGGACAGGGAGGACCTCTTAACATCAAATTGGATGTTCTGCTGCCTACGGACAGGCAGATGCTATTGAGCAGTGTACATGACATGTTCAAATCCTGCATCTTGCAAATATTTTCTCAACTGAAGTTTTCATCTGTAGAAGGTCAGCGAGTATAAAAACAAAATTGATGCAACTGATAGCAATTCTTTTTCCTAAAAAGCACAAGCTATTGTTCATGTAGTAACAATGGTAACTGTTGTTACAACAATAACTATTGTTACTACACTTAACCATCCCTTCAAATTCAGATGCTTTTTATCATTTTCTTACGTTTCACATTTGCACTCTTATTTTTTGTTTCAGAAGAAAAACGTCCGATAGCAGAAATGAAGCACTCCATTAAAGAAAATTTAAAACATGAGAATTAACAAACACTGCACTACATGATGCAAAATACAGTCAGTGCCCAGGGTGGCAAGTGATAGGAAAGCTGTGTGGCAGAAATAGTGGCAAGCACTGCAAGTGACAATGATAAAGAATCTTCTCAGTAAAGAAGACCATTATCAACACTGAAAACACAACAGCAAACCTCTGCAGAGCGTGGTCTGCGCAGAACCAGACTCTTTGGATAAAAGAACTCAGATGAGGAATGCTGCCATGAAACAGAAAAAAGGAAAAAGAAGAGTGAAAAGGAAAGCAGTTCCCCAGCCCATTGGTTAAGCTCTTTTTCAGTCAAGTGACAACTTACAAATAACTACTTGCTAGATAACAATCTGTGTGCTATAGTATCCGTTACTTGCTGATCCCTGTAGAATCACGAACAAGCAGATAGCTGAACCTAAGCAGTGCATTCTAGTTACATACAAACAGCTTTACCCTCTACTTGTTTTTACTTAAAAAACCTCTACAGAAAATCCAGTGGGAGAAAAACCTTAATCAACCATCATTTTTCTGAACTCAGTCTGACCAGCTAAAATGCTGATTAGTTTATATCGCAATTCAGTTACTGAGAGAAAACAGAACTGGCTGAAAGCTTATAAAATGACTTCCACAATAAAAGGGCATTTTGTTCTGCTTTGCTCCACAGGGAAAAGGAAATCCAGCAGAGCAAGGATGCCTTGTCAATGGCAGAACCACCCGAAAATAAAGGCCTGCCCCTGAAAGATGTAGTATCTTGTATTTGAGAATTGAGAAATCTCATTCTGAAACTCACATCAGGCCTAAAAATTATGCAGTCAAGAAACTCAAGGTAAATCAAGCCACAGGTCATAAACTGAAAAGTGACGTGCTTAAATAGCACAGTTTCCCAGTTTCATTTGTTTTCGTACCTATCTGTTTGCTATTGACCTTGTCTAAGTAAGCAGAAATATTTGGCAAAGTCATCTAAATGAACTCAAGTGGTCAAGAGAACGCAAATTGATTTTAAATCAATTAGCACCAAAATAGGTACAGACTCTGCAATGTAGAGTTGAAGCTAAAAATTCTCAGTCTCTCCAGCTGGCTTCAGCACTGTGAATTTCCAACTTTAAAGACACGTTAAACATCTGCATGGAAGATCTCCAGGAATAAGGTGACCTTGGATAGCTGGGCAGTGACATCTCTTGTGTTCCCCCTTGATTGTTTTTTCACTTCGTCTTAAATTTTCTAGAAAAACTCTCTTAGGGAAAAATCTTGCAGGTGGATGAATTCAATTAAAATTACCTGAGAGAGAGGAAGACTCACATGCTTGAATGTCTGATGGGAAAAAGGAGAAGATATTTGAAGCCTTTGCACGTCTTTATGGGAAATGGAAATAAGCCAACTGAATTATAAGGTCAGCTCAGAGAAAGTTAATAAGGGCAGCACTATAGTCAGGAGCTTCGACAAGGCTCTCGGGTCCATGCAAAAGAGAGTACTGTTCCCCAACCACTCACTGCTAAGGCCAAGTATTCTGACACTTCTGCTGGGCAAAAGCACTGTCTTACATTCTACTTGTTAAATGGAGAAGGAAATTCAAACTAGCATAAAAAGTACTATAGCAATTACTTTAATAAGGAAACAATCCCATTTTTTTGGAGCTCTCTATATGGCTTCTAATTACTAAGCATCGGCATAAACTATCTGTCTGCTCCTTGGGAAGTGCAATGTCTGTACATCTATTCTGAAAGTAATTCTGTTCTTAAAAGATAAAGCTAAAGCTGATTTACGCTGTGATAAGATGGTCACTGAGAAAAGCAGCTGTCAACCATTACACTGGAAGTCAGAACAGGATAACGTGCAAATAGTGGATTGCAATAGTGATGTTTGGTCCTGCTAGATCACATGGTCACCCACAGCCAGTTCTGCTCCTGTATTATGAGTGCAGTCCATGCTAACATGAACTCTGCTCAAGAGAAATATATTAGTACATTACCTACATTCCTAGTGAACTCACAGAAAAAGACCTGAATCAATTTTAAAGGACTAGGCTTCCTGTGAATGACCCATAGATAGAGCACAACTCAGGATAATTTGTCTATCTCCATGCCAGTACCTCTCATTTTCCTTGGCTGATAGACCTTCTAGCCATTTTCCTTCTATGAAGTCTCTAATATTCTAGTCTCTAATATTCAGAAAAATTAACAGTTCAAAGGCCCAACTGAGATATCAAAGTGAGTAAACTGTCCAGAAGGCAAGTTAGTGAATATGGGCTTAAAATTGCCTGATGCATGACAAAAGTGCATGAGTGCAGTATTATTCCAATCAAGAATTTGATCCAGAATGTTCTTGGTATGCTGATGTGATCCCAAGGATGCCAGCCCTTCCTGGCATTCCAATTAGGATCTCTTTAGTTTGTGGTTTATTTGAATAGCAAAGGAGCTAACTGCTGTAAATAACTGCAAAGAACAAGGGATAAGAAGTTATACAGATGTGCAAAAGCACTAAGATGCATCATAGCTCTTGCCCTGTTCACATTTTACTCCACTGCACGATAACTCACATACGATGATCTGTCTTAGAGGCAATGTCATATCTGTGTATCAGTAAATTATATCATCTTTAGGGTAACACACTGAAACTGAAGATGATGAGTTTAAAAACCACACCATTATCTTTGAAGTGCTACCAAAGTTATTCTGCCAGTGTGGTGACAGCTATGCTATAAAAACCATGAAAATAAAATCACACTTTGTATACAATGTTCAGTTGCTAGGTGTGTAAAATATGCAGTGTGTCATTGCCACAAATTCAGCTTACCCGTAGCTTATCTTCAGTCTTAGTGGATTGCTTACAGTCGGGATGCCAGACAGTGGAACCTGGGGGACACAAAAAAAGAAAAAAAAAGAAAAAAAAGAAATCCTTATTTAGAGGAAAGCAGATGATTTCTGGTCACGAGAACTTAGTCTGAAACTTAGAACTTAGTCATGAAAAGAGAATCCCTTCACTGAATCAGACTGTGCATCTGTGTGAGCCTTTCAGATTCAGTCCTAGCTCATGAGAAACACAAGTGACAAAAAAAAAAAAGCCAAATCCCTGGTCCACCCACAGCAGTCTCTTGCTGGAACTGACAAAGCACTTAGTACAGCTTCTTAATTAAAACTCAAACAGCTGTAAACAGCAAGAAAGCCAGGCAGCACCATCTGAAGGGACTGGAAGATGGAGGGTCCTTCTGGTAAGGATGGAGGCCAAGGGCTATGACAAGCTGACCTGGATTCCCCTTGTGAACTGCACCATGTGTAAAAATTACAAGTCCACTACTGCTGTTTAAGCCCTGTGATTTCCTTGAGCAGTAGTTGTGCTCAGTTACTGTAAAACATTACTCATATCACTTCTTTCCTGCAACTACACAGAATGCAATGGGAAATGTTTATTAGGAGCAAAATAGAAAACTCACAGCACAGCAGTCAGGGCAGTATCTCACCTGCTGCATCAAGCTAATGAAGCTGGAACGACACATGACACAAACTATGTGAAGGTATCTCTCCCAAAATCAGTGTACTGCATGCAGCACTGGCATACATTTGGTTCTGCGCCCTGCTCTGTAAGGTCGGCGGCATGTGCTGCACTGGCATTTCCACATGGCATGTTCCAGTTTCACATCCTCCCAAAGAGGCAATGTTTCTACTGTCTGTGTTCTAAAACATGGGATTTTTCCTCACATAATAAAAATGTAAATATCTGGCTGTGCCCATGGGCTAGGAAGGGGCACTGCCAACTCTCCCCCAGCACTTTGGAACAGAGAGTAAATTATGGTTACTGCTGGCAAGCTGCTGGCAGAATTTTAGCCAATCTGAAACAGAGCAAAAGCTAATGCTGATTTTTAACACTTTAACTACTGCAGCTGTAGCCAAATTCAGCTTCAATCCAGCAGCCACAAAGCCTTGTGTGACCCTTGTCTGCCTGCAGGAGGGAACTTCACCTTTTCACTCAGTCCACAAAGAAACCAAACAAAGGGCAGCCCAGGTCTCCTGCTGGTGAATATTATCTCAAGTACAGCCAGAGGACACCCCACCCTTGGAGTCAATGGGAGGGATGGATCAGGGGCGCTGGACACTTCACTCTAATAAGCCTTACATGACCCAGTGTAGAAGCAAAGAGCAGCAGGAATGTTCATTTCCCAGAAGCACACAAGAACATCATCATCAGAAGGCTGGAGAGAACGCTGTGATTCTGGATCAGAGTCTGAGAAGTCTGGCTTCAAGTTTGAGCAGAGGAAGAAGAAACTGTGCATTTGGCAGCAGGGAATGATTGGACAACAGGGGGAAACATACCGAGAGCTCCTCTGTCAACAAACAGCAGCTTCCGAGCCAGGACCCCATAGTGCCAACAAGATCAGGAGAGAAGCATGAGCTGTGCATTTGCAAGGGGGTTAAACACATCCAAGCACTCAGGAGAAAGCCAGTTCTATTATAAGGCTGATGAAGTGACAGCCAGGTTTAGGTGCAATTCTTAAATTCAGTTGTGTGACCCTGAGAAAAATGTTCCCTGTTCTTCTGTACCTCAGTTTCTTTTCTAATAAACCATTTCTATTGTCAAAACAAAAAACAAAAAACAAAACAAAACAAAAAAACCACCAACAACCTGCCAGTGTATTTTCAGGCAGCATTCAGCACAAATTAGCTCAGTTTTAGGGATACCTCTGGACAAAGGGAACAAGAAATGCAAGAGAGATCTCATGCCATATTCACAGTGGAACTTAGCCATTGTGAAATTTCTTTCACAAAAAATTTTTAAAATGTGAAATTCTAAAAGCCAAATCAGATAGAGTGGGCTTAAGAAGTTAAACATAACTAATTTTTTTTTTTACAGTGCTGAACTCTGAGCCAACCACAGCTTGTGGATCTTAACTATCCAAAGGGTCAGAGCATTTTAAAAGGTTTGGAACTGCGCAGATTCCCAAGCTGTACAGCTCCTCTTCTTCCTACTGGAAACAATTCAGCAAATTGTAGCTAATCTCATTCTTAACATATGTTTGTTTGCTCACTTGGCAAACATCAACCAACATGTTCATTTATTCAATTTACCTTGCACATACCACTGATTGAACATACAGTTCTCTAAAAAGCAGTAACTCGATTACACATTGACTAAAGCTGTTTTCCTCTTGCAGGTTTGGCTTTGCACATTTCTATTACAACCAGTTACCACACTCCTCTATTACACAAAGTAATACCAATATTGCATTTTCATGATCAGTAGAGAATGCAATTAGAAATGAGAAGGAAGCTTCATATTTACATATATTTAATCAATCGTGCACTTTTTGTTCTAGCTTCAGTGTTGTGGGGCTGTATTTTTATTACAGAGAAATGCTTGGAAGGCTGTTATTCAGCGCCCTAGGGAAAACAATTTGGACAGTCAGCATATCCATTTCAGCTGAGAGCTTTGCTTAGGAAAGACTTTTAGGTCACCTACACTTAAAAGTATGCTGAACCCAGCAAGGAAAGGTTTGGAAGGGCAGTCCCAGCAATAACACTTGGTCAGAAAACAGCTTTATACAATAAAGCAATGCAACTTGTACTGCTCCTCCTGATACAGAGTGAGCATGAAGAACATGAGTGCACAGTCACAGGAGAGGATGCAGCCAAGCAGAGAAGGATGGCAGGTCAAGGAACCAGGAATCTCTCCTCACATAACACCTAAGTAATGCTGGAACACAATCTAGCCTGGTTTAAGTAGGAGCAACACCTTCTGTCTTACTGCAATCTGCAGAAATTTACACCACAGCACGACCAGTCATCGTGAACAGTTCACACCAGTTCATGCCTTGCTCTTACTAATGTAATTTCTGAATTAATCTGCTCACCATGTCCTCTGTCTGTACTTTAGCATTCTGTGATGTGAGGAAACTAAGGTTAAAACTTGTCAGGTGTTGCAGTTGCTGTTTTCAAATTAATCTTTCAAATTTGCCATCAGAAAGCAGTACTTCCTACCCAACCCTCTTTCAGCTTCTCCTTGCTTTTGCAAGCAAGCACTGCTATGCAACCATATATCTAATTCTGCGCATAGCTGGAGTCAGATGACTCTTTACAAGGTCAGTGAGAGATGAGAAAGATGGACTGCAAGGGAGGACAAGCTATAAAATAACACAAGTCAGCTTCAAAGGAATTTCTTAACAATGTTATCTTATTTTGGAATTCCTCCAGAAGGAATCTCTCCAGTTTTTCAAGAGACACTTTAATCATTTCTTTCCTACTTTTTTACAGTTCTTTCAGGTATATCAAGCAAGTTTTCTACTGCAAACACAATATACAAATTCCTGATATGTAGTTGTCCTTTCGCTTTGATTTCTGGCCTGCATAGATTTACTTCTGCCAACATTTCTTAATACTACAGCAAGTCAGAAAAAATAATTGTAGCTTAACTGTGTATGTGCTACCTTCTGGGAGAGTAGGTAGGCAGCAAGGCCACCATCATGGACACTACAGTGAAAGAGTCTCAAGTGAAAAAGTATGAGAGCACTGCAATGAAGAAAAGGCCACAGTCCTCCATGCACACATTATACAGGATAGCTATAAACCAGTGAGGTCTAAGACAGAGAAATTACAAAGTCTGATTTTATGGTTTTGTTGTAGACATCCTTACCTTGCAGATACATTTCTTCTCCTTCTGTGAACATTTGGTTGCACCTGCTGCATCGTGCACAGCTGGGATGATAATGCTTGTCACCTGCCTAAACAAAAGGGGAATGAGGGATCAATACTTTGCACTGCTTTGTAAGCACTCAACCTGTTGGTGCACCACTGTCATTTTCCCTCTAGTTCACTCATTACAATATAATATTGTCTTGATGACTCAATGCCATGAGTAGCTAAGGGAAACTAACATCTTCCTTGCTGCTTCAATCCAGGGGTCTATTTGGAACAGTATCCTATCCTCAGCAGAAGGCAGCAGTGTCTGTGTGAGATAAAAGGACACAAGACTAGAACAGCCCTTTCTCTGCACACCTTCCCATTCAGGTATTTGCACTTTAAAGACATCCAGGTGAAAGGCTATGTCCCAGTCTATCTATTCTCCCTATTTTGCTCAACACGTTCTTGAATCTCCACTTAAAGGTCCAAAGCAATGAACAATACACCGCAGTCAGACATTTGTGCAAACCCTCTGCCTCCCCATTCTGCAGACATCATGTATTTTCTCAATCACTCCATTGTTATGGATGAATTTAAGCCACAAATGACAGTTTCCAACCTGCCACTGCATTCCTTGGCTGTTTTCCCAACGCTGCTGATATGAGCATTAATGGGGCGAGAGCTTTCCAGAGCAACTTCTGGGACCATTAACTTAATTCACAAATGCCCAACTTTAGAAGATTCGTGGGTGCACACAGCTTGAGATGTCTGAACTGTTATCTATCCAGATCCCGTTACACAAATCCAACCCACTGAGTCATTCTGTCTCTTAAATTTTGATGCTCTAAAACTAGGCTGATCATATTACAGGCCTACAAGGACAGGAAAAATGAAGGCACAGACATAATTTTGATTTCTTCTCCTTAGTAGAGCAAAGCAACCAATACAAACTAAGTAGGTGAAGTCCATACTAGGCTTTTTAAAAATGCTAATGAAAATGAAAATAAAATTAAAAAAACACAACACCAACAACATCAGAATAGTGACACGTGCTGGATTCTACAAGGCTTTAAAGATTGCATCTGACTTTCTAACAATTTAACCTTGAATGCTTGTTAACAAAGTATTCCCTGTGGACTGAGATGTCACGTACACAAAACACCTGTATGCAGCATAAGGCTGTGAATATTAGATGAGGTTCAAAGGCAGTCTCCAATTCAGACAGTTCAGCACTCAGCAGGAGCCTATGTGCTTCTCTGCACTTTCTGCCTTGCACAATCAATATCATGTATACAGAGGAATAGGAATTTTATCAGTTTGGTAAAATAATCCCAACTTCTGAGCATTCCTGAAGTTCTTCAGCAAAATGAAGGTCAATGGATCTGTCTGTCAGAAGAGATTTCTAGTGTATTTCATTTAATGAATGCATCAAATTGGACATCCTAGGAACTGCTCCCTGTCAATGAGATATAAAAAATTTCTAACAGGACTGAATCACTGTTGGAGAGCATCCTCTCCAAACAGGAAAGCAGTGACTTAAAAATTCAACTGTGGAAACGTGGAAAAAAGTGGAAAAAATAAGAGAAATATTATCAGATAAAGCAGTAGTTAAGATCCAGGAAAAACATATTGGGAAAGCACCAGGGTGTGTGGGCAACCAAAACTGCCACGTATTCACATTTGTACAGCTTCAGCTTCTGTTCTTCCATCCTGGCCTCTGAGATGTGTGTTTTAGGACAGAAGGATGCATCACCCCCATGTTTTAATCAAGTGCTACACTGCACTGCCATAAGCAAAAGCTGTTAATCTTTGGATGATGTGTGGTTACTGTAGCAGTGCCTCAGGCTTCTGATCCTTGTATTCCTTAATTCGCAGTTCATTCACAGCTTTGGCCAGTGATTTCTACTAGCATGATCAATTGACTGATCGGTCAAACAAGAACAAAGTTCTAGGGAAAACTTCTAAATCTATAGGGCATGAAGTATTCAGATATCTGGTCTTATCCAGCTCTCAGGCTATTAAATTCACATTCAGTAGAGTCAATGGTTGCCCCACACCCAAAAATCCCTTACAGTTACTTTACTGCACAGAATTTCTTAGCTGCACACCAGCTCATGCACCGTGCCCCACAAACCCAGCACAAGCACCTGCACACACAGCTCTCAGCACACAGCCACAGGACTTCAAAGTCAAGCGGTGGCTGGACCAGATGATCTTTGTGGCCTTCTCCAACCTCAGTGATATACTGTGCACTTTTAGACACCACCTCGTGCCTATCTCTGCCCCTCTACTTCCCACAGGACTAACTTTTATTTTCTGGGGGCTTGCAGAGCTCTAGCCTGATTTAACAAATGTTCTCCTCCTTGGTAAACGTGAGAGCATAAGATTTCCTATTACTCATGCCTTCACTTCTGCCCGCTTTTCAGAACAACAGTGAACAAGAGCCAGAAAGGACAATAACAAGAATCCCACTAGGAGACTCACATGCCAATGGGTCTGGTACAGGAAGAACTAATTACCAACAGACATTTTTATTGGCCAAAAGACACAATTAAGTGCATTTTTGTCGCATTACATTTGCACAGCTGCATTCACTCACTCTCCATTCAAAGATATCTCAGCAGTCACCTGACAAGCAGCTATTAAACATGCAGAAAGCTTTTCTAATATCATTCAAACACAAAAAAAACCCTGCTATGTAGCTTAAAGTGTGCTTTAGAGATTTTTTATAATAAAGAGGTATAATGGCTCTTTGATTGACAAATCTAATCAAAAATTTATTTCCACCGTGACTCGAGGAGGATGACCTGATTTCTTAGCTCTCTTAAGGCCCAAGGAGCAGCACAAAGAATAACTCAGCCTCATCTCCAAACCCCTAAAGGAATGCCATGAATTCCTGTAAAACAGGAACGGCAGCAGTGGCTGACCATTTTTCAGTGAAGCTTTATTTTAATTACTCGCAGAGGTCACAGAACCCTTCACCCTGTTTGATGTTGGGGATAATATCAAATTCCATTGTTTCCTTCTCTGCAGGCTCCTGTGATCTCACAGGCGGGTGGAACAGCACAAACACTAGGAAGACCAACATTTGCTTTTAAAAACATCCTGGCCCAAGCTGTCCACTCGCTTTTCCCAGGCTCTTATCTGGCCAGCAAGTCACAAATGTCTGTGCTGAGATACAAAAATAAAAGCGCAGCTCCTCTATTTCCAAAGGACCTCTCAATCTCTACGGATTTGCTCTCGTAGCAATGTCACAGCTGCCCACAGGCCCAGCCCCCAGCAGCCCCTGCCAGCCAGAGCAGAGCAGCGCACGAGGGGACGTGGGAAATGGAGCGTGAGGCCCTGACCCTAAATCTGAGTGACAACTTGCATGCAAGAGACATGGAAGACCCTCAGAGCCTTCCATTGATGGTTGTGCTCTCTCAAGCAAGCCAGAACTGCAGCTGTCCTGCTGCTATGAACGCTTGCACTGTTAATTCAGGCCTGCTTTCCGATTTTCATACAAAAATACTTCCCAGCATCCCAACAGTGACTGCCAGTGTCACGCTATTATATCCTTTAGCAGATGGACAGTGTTAAACTTTGCAAAGTATGAGTGTTAATTTCATCAGCATACAGCGTTATTATACACATTAGTTATTAATAATAGCAATGCAATTATTAGTTGCTTAAAATGTGATTTTTCCTCAGAGCAAAAACATGAGTTACGATTCTGGCCAAATCACTTCAGGCTAGACAACTGGAATCAGTCCTAGCAGCCGAGTATCAACTGGGCTTACTTTACAGCAAGATCCCAGCCATCATTTGTGACTGGGCTGTCAGCTCCCACCTTCCTGTTTCATCCAGTGATGTGCAAAGGTGAAATATGCTTAACTACAGATTATATTCCTTATGGCAGCCATTCATCCTGTCCTTATGGATGTCCTTATTAAGCAAATACACATCCTGCTTACACACTACCACAGTAAGAACTTATATAGTCTACAGAAACAGCAGGAAGTTGATACTGCAAAGGGATGACACAACTAAGAAAGGTACCCACAGAAGCACAGAGTGACCTGTGAGAGTACTCTGGTCTGTACAGAGAAGCAAAGCAGTAGCAGATACAGGTAAATTACTGATGGCCAGAATTTCTGTCATCTCCATTAGGACCTCAGGTTACATTTACGCATGGAGAAATCTAACCCCTTTGACTGACCATGCAGTTAATCAAAGACTATTTAGAGAAAATATACTGGCTGGTATTAAGATCTGTGTATATCCTGCAGAGAAGCAAAACTGTTGAATGCACAGTGCAGCATTCACTCTGTATTCTGTTTTGTAGTGGATGGGCATGGGAATTGATGGCCTCCTAACTAGTCTTGGTCTTCTCACTACTTGGCAATGCCAAAGATGTGTTTCTCATGTTTGATACTGTTTACTGGACAAGATTTTTTAAAATTATTGTTTGCTATGAGTCTACACTTATAAATTAAGAGACTTGAACAATTAGTACTAGAGAGTCTTAAAAGATAGATATACAGCTAGGCATTTGTCTGACAGATGGATGTGTTAGCAGGGGAGAGATACCTTGGGGCTGACTTCCTCCTGCCCGCAGCATGAGGTACCTCTGCTGCTGGCCCAGACAAGAAGATAAACCCTTTCCTTGCAAATCTGCGGATGACTCACTGCTTGTTTTGCTATCTGAATCCAACAAGTATGCTTGAATAGCCTAATGTAATACAGAATGCCTGTAAATCAAGCAAACAGGACCCTGGGAGATTGAAAGCCATGCTGTGGGCAATAGGCACTGAGGGAGGCAGCTGGAGGACATCATTAGTAACAAACATCCCAGAAAAAACTCTCAGGGTATCTGACACAGCCAGTTCTTCTGATCATTTGTTGTATACAAAGAATATAAAGGCAAAGCAGAAGAGAGGTTCTGCTTCTGATCACATACTGCACTGTCACTATTTTAATACTGCCAAGTGGGCACGTGGAGCTACAGAATAGGAACAACGTGAGCTGTGAACTAGAAGGACTCAGAACCCACCACTGCTCTGAGAAGTTTCAAGTGACTGGATCACAATGGAGAAGTAATTAAAAGCAAAGAAAAGAGATA